TGTACGTAATATATGACTATATATGTAATTTTATTATCTTTCAGAAAATCCAAAATAAGTTCCTATTCTGATGTATATCTTTTTAAATTTCTGATTATTCATATTTAATTTAATCGCTAGAAGATTCTTGTTTTTCTTTTTTAACTTTATTACTCTGTTCACAATTTGAACTGCATGTTTCCGTTTCTTCATGATCATTTACGTTTTCTTGAAGATATTCGGCATCAGCCATAATTGTAGAGTCCATGTCTTCCTCGCCATCTAGATTAAAATTGAAGATCGTATTTATTAATCTACCTTGGAAAAACATCTGTAAATATTAAAAAAAAGGAAAAAGAAGAAAAAAAGGTACAATTACAGTTTGTATAATAAAAGAATAATAATTATTTGAAACATTACTAGGGGAAAGGAAAAAAAAAAAAAAAAAAAAAAAAAAAAAGAAGGAAATACTCCTCTCCCCTTTTTTAAGTATATCCACATTTTTATGTGTCACTTACTCTATCAATTAATCTGTAGCATAGCGCTAAAAACAATACTAAAAACACATAAGTAGTAACTAGATTAGCAGATGAACTGTCATAATGGTGATGCGTATACAAGTTATGATGTGCTGTTGTTGAAAGAGGGATAACTCCTGGTCGATTGGTGGAATAACTGTGAACTACTGTTTTGTAGTATTCTACATCTGGGTATCTATATTGTGGGAACACCATTTTCGCATATATAAATTGTTTAAAATAAGCATATTTAAACTTTTGGTACGTATATATACCTCAATTATACGCCGTAAATATTTGATTGAGTATGGGCTTAGTAAATTATATGTTATTATTTTATATAATTCGTAAGAACATATATATGGAAAAATGTAATTTGAAATATTTTCCCTTCGCGTATAAAATATGGTAATTAAATTTAAAGATATATATAATCTTTTAGAAATGTTAGAGTTTACATTTATAATTTTTTAAAAAAATTAAATAAAATTTTAAAATTCTAAACTAATTTATCTGCAACAAGTATAAATTTATTTTAATATTTATTTTTATATTTATTTTTACAAAATTTAAAAAACATATATACATAAATATTATATATGGTATAATTACATGTTACACGTATATTAAAATATAAACAATAAATTAGATAGTATTTTTTTTTTTTTTTTTTTTTTTTTTTTGGGGTATCGAGAAATATAAAAACTAATTTTTTAAAATATAATGTAAAAATAGTGTCGCATAAAAAATTTAGGTTCCCACTTTAAAAAATAATTTTTTTTTTTTTAATTTCTAATAAGAACTCTCATTTATTGTAATTTTTCTATTTTTATTGCATAGTAAAAAAAAAAAATAATTAATCAAAATAAATAAAACATTACTTTTAGCATCAAATAGGTATAGAAAAGTGTACACTTATCCTTTTATTTATTTATTTTTGCATAATTGCTTTTTTTATAAATCTAAAAAAAAAAACTCTCCTATTATAAATGTGTTTTTTTTTTTTTTTTTTTTTTTAAATAATAGCAAATTTTAAAATAAAAAAATCATGGAAATAATAAAAATAAAAATAATGGGTGATATATATAATAATTGGAATTGATCCTAATTTATAATTATATGCATATTTATCATGTATGTACATGCGTTTTAACCAAATCAAAATGAAAATGTTTTATCCTTTTTATTGCTCACTGTAAAACTAGTTAATAATGGAAAAAAAAATTGAAAATTTTAACAATTATTAGATTTTTAACAGTTTTTTTTTTTTTTTTTTTTTTCTTTTTAAAATTCTATAAATTCTAATTATTAGATGAAATATATACATTAATTTACACATTTAATCTGTAAATTAAATTATAAGAGAGCGGGGGTGTGAGTTATTACAAGTGTCACAATAAAAGTGGAATTTTAACCTGCAGCGAAATTTAAAATGTGTAAAATGAAAAAGTAATTTATGTTAACTTTGTGACTAATTTTTTTATGCTGCATATACATATAAAAATTTGAAAATTAATTAATGATCATTTTATCTTGCACATAACATTATATTTTGAAATAATATCAAAAAGGCATTTTAATCATTGTCCTTATCAGAAAATTCAAGGCAATTAAAAATATATACATTCATATTGTACATAGATAGACACACACAAGGAATTTTAGATTAGTTAAAATAATTTATTGTAAAGATTAAAAATAAACATACAGAAGAAACTTTTTGTATTTTTATTCCTTTCCCATGGTGCAATTTCACTTCTTTAAATTATTTTTACGGTATATTTTATACATCGTTATAGACAAAAATATAAACACAGCAATTTACTATATTGTTTTGTATATGTGTGTAATATTTGTTAATCGAATTAAACACATCGTTTTTATCCTAATTTCTTATTACGAACTAAAAAGGAGAAGCAGTTTTTTTACAATAAAAATAAAAAAAAAATTTAAGTGTTTATCTTATATAAGAAAAAAAAAAAAAAATGATAATAATATTGAAAAATCAGTAACTTTTGAAAACATTAAGTTCAGAAGAAACCTTAAATATATTGTGTAGTAAAAATGCCTAAATAAATACATTTTGCGTTTACAATAATCTTTTTGAAAAATATGACCCTTTCCGCTTGAATGAAGTCGTAATAAGAATTTCCATAAAATTTATTTTGCTTAAATTACGAGGTTAGTAAAATGAGCTTTTTAAATCATTTGAAATGTTTTCACCGTGTACATTTCACATAATGTATTGTTAAGATACATTCTTTATTATACTCGCAAACTTTTTTAATAAATATTTTTTGGTGTTTTTAGAAAATGCTAATAAAAGTAATAAATTATGTATTACAAATAATTTCTAAATAAAAAGATTCATTTAAATATCACTGTAAATTATTCGAGTGTGAGTTTCGTCATGCTAGCGAACATTCGTTTAAGATGAAATTATACTATTTGTTGCTTATGAAAGGGTATTTTTTCTGATCGCTTTTTTTATATCCAATAGAGATTTTTTTTTTTTTTTTTTTTTCATGTTAATTAATAGATACACATCTATCCTCCCCTGCTCTCAGCTTATATTATTTAAAATATTTTATTTCGTTTCGTTTGAATAAAAAAAATAAATAAATAAACTCAACTTAAGGAATAAACATAGATGGGTTAGAAAGTGTTTAGAATAATATGAGAGAATTAAAGTTTAATGTTAATATTTACACAGAAAAGTTACGTTTTTTGCGTGAATATAAGTTTTTCCATATTATTTTCACATTCAATGCTCAATTTTACTTAATACATAAAAATCATACTTTGTGAATCATGCTAATTGCTAAAAAAGATTTAATAAAAAATTAAGAATCATTATTATTGTAAAACAATATATAATAGCATGATTTGCTTATATAGGCTAATAAATATTTTACGAAAATGAGTTTTTCCTTTGGTAGAAAACACTTTGAAGTGAATTTTTATAGCTCTCTTTATATATATACATTTGTATACATTTAAGGCTCATGGAAAAAGTGGTGAATATGCATAGAAATACTTTCATTTTATATCAGTGTCATGGTTTCATTAACGAGAGTAACGAAATGTTCGGGCACACATTTACTATTGTTTTTGTTAAAAAATTCAGTTTTCCACATTAGCTGTAGATGCGGAGACTCTAATTTTTTAATTTTATCATCAAAATGGACATGTTATATATATTACTCATTAAAATAAGTTTTATTAAATTCTTATAAAATGTGATGGAATTTCTCTAATTTACCCACAGTTTTTTTTAGAGAACATAAATGTTAAGACAAAAAAAAAAAAAAAAAAAAGTAGGCTCATATGGTCACATTAAATTTTATTACATATTTTTTGAGTATAGTATGTTGCTAATGACAAAAATTATTTTTTAAATATGAAGATTAGTTGATCTTCAATTTTTTTGTAGCAGATTCAAGAATAGAATAAAAAATTCAATAAAATCATTTTAACCGATGAATGTACCTTTTTATTATAACTAAAATTTTTGTTTAACTCAATAAAAATGAATATTTATTTGTGTTTATGACATTTTTTTCAATTTTTTCATATTAAAATGAAAATTGGGGATCTTTTACTATAATACATCAGGAATATAAATAACTTTTGAATGTGTGTATTTTGGTCATCCATGATGATTTTTTTTTTTTAGGGAAAAGAATGTAGTAGTTAGTAATATTTAGGAAATTGTTACTATGTACTTTTATTTTAAAGATACATTCCTTATATAATTACGCTGAAACATGGTTATATGCTTATAACACACACAATAATATTAGGTAGACACTACTTTAAAATTTTACTATTGCTTGATTTGACTTATTATTTTTGTTTGCAATTTACAAACCTTTGAAAATTGGCTAAATTATCATTAATCGGCATGGATAAAAAAAAAAAAAATAAAATACTAAATTTATTAAATATGTTTTATCATATATATATGTGAAAAGAAGAAAACATACAACAGGAAGGAATAGTACATATTTTTTAAACAATAAAACGTGTGAATTTTTTTAATTAAAATAAAAAGTTTTTGTAATAAATTAGGGTAGTATATACATTTATAAATATGTATGGCCCTGAGTTTATCTACTAAAATTAACATTAAAAATAAAGATAATTTTTACATGGATATCGTACTCCTTTTTGATAATTTTTACTGAAAAATTTTATCTAATACATATAATATAGTATTTTTTTAAAAAGGGTATTGATCCTACTATGTGCTACTCTATTCCATCATAATCCTTTTTTTTTTTTATCTATCATATTAGGAGTTTGAATCCGAAGTAAAAAATAAAAATTTGGTATAGTTTTATACATGCACTTATAATTTGTATGCAATAAATATTTTTTTGGAGTAATAAAGCTTTTTAGGTATGTTTTTTTTTTTTTTAACGCATTTATACAAAAAATTTCAAACTTTTTTTTTTTTTCTACATGTTATATATCTTTTTTTATTGAAATAAAAGAAAATGAGCTTTTTTTATTTCTCTATATTTTTGGATTTCATTCTGTGTTCTTTTATTTAGTACAACGTTGTTTTATATTTTAAAAAGAATTTTGATATTGTATATAGCCCAATAATATTCAAGCAGAAAAGTGATATATAATTTATATATAAAAATATTATTTATTTTATTAGGGAATAAGAAAATTTCCTTTTTTTAAAAATTTTCAATTTTTGTCGTACATTAAATAATAACATTAATAAATAATATATATATATAGCAATATTTTTACGAATAAGTTTATTGCTTTTTTTTTTTTTTTTTTTTTATTTAATTATAAAAAAGAGATTGTGGGTAATAAAAATTTTATTGTATTATTAAAATTATATATTATATATAATTACCACAACTTTTTACAAAAAAGTGAAATAATATAATAAAAAATTGCCTCAATAAAAAAAGAGTTGAAATTTGCAGTACATGCATAAATATACGCAAAAAAATTTATTTAATTTTTATTTAAAAATAAATTTAACTTGGGGTTATTCCAAATAATAATACATTCGATATTCAAATTTTATTGAAAAATATCTTTAAAGCTATTTATCTCACTAAACATTTTATAGTACATAACTATAATTAAATAGTGATACATAATAAAATATTTAATTACCAAAAAATATATCTTTAAGAAAATTGAGAAAAATGATAATGAAAAATTGTGATAACGTAAATAGAAACACCTACGAGAGTGGGAACTGTGCACATTCAAAGAACACTTTTATCTCATCATCCGTGAATGATTCGAAGGATACTGTAAAACAAAAGACTAATTTCCTTTCAATCACAAAAATTTGTGCATTTACTATTTTAGTATGGATATGTCAGCATTACGACAATGTAGGATAATAAGAAATATATAAGCTGATACTTATATATGATGAACATCATTATATGTCACTTTATATGTTTTTTCTTGTGTTTTTTTTCATTTATTAAAATTATATTTTGTATTACTACACCATCACACTCCAAAAAAAAAAAAAAAAATAAAACGTATTTTTGATTATTCACGATTTATTTCATTATCTTTAGGGTAACATGAGCAGTTCCGTTTGTTTACGTGACAACCTTAAGAACGCATTCGGTTTAAAATCTGAGAGAATATTATCATCCAAAGATTCGGCTGAATTTGAAATGATTAATAGAAACGCTGGAAATGAAAAGCAGCAGGGAAACAAATCAGGAAAATCGAGAAATAAAAATTTAAAAGCATCATCAGATGATTGTGAAAATAATGAAGTATACGAACAGAATTTATGTGCATCTTGTAAATGTAGTTTAAAAAGCGTAGATTCATATTTTGAGAAAAAATTGTTCGATATCCTGGATGCAGGAAATAAAAAGGCTGGAGAGCTTATGGAATCAAATGCTCACATTATTAGTGGATTAATGAATTATTTAAAGTATGTATTTCTCTTCTCCCCAGTTTTACTTGAACTTTTAGCAAACACACTTTTAGTATCAGGACATTATAAATTATCTCAATTTGTGTCTACTGTGTGCGTTTCATTTTATCTTTATGTGTTTTATAAAATTATACAAAATTGCACAGCAGAAGTAGAGAATATTGTTAATAGTAATGTCATCCCATGTAAAACTGGAAGCTGCAAAGATTACTGTGATAAGAGTTGTCAAAACACATGCAACCTGAGTGGATGCAATGGTGAAGAAGAAGAAGAAACAAAAATTTCAAGTTAAAAAAGGAAAAACCACAAATAAATTGCTTTTTAAGAAACTTTGCGGCTTCGTAAGTGTTATGTAGAAACAAGCGAAAATGCGCATACACACATAAGACATTTTCAGGGGAAAGATCAAAGATATGAATATACGTAATTTATTAACATACATATTTATATATATGTACGTATATAAATTTATTTATTTTTTTTTTTTTTACAATTTTTTGGCCTCATTGTTTTGCTTAAAACAGTTTTCAAAGTAATGTAATATTCTTCCATATAATGTGTGGGCTTGATACTTATATAATTTTATGCAAGTATTTAAATTATAATATCTGTATATTTTTATTTTATTTTATTATTTTATTTTATTATATTATTTATTTTTTTTTTTTCATATTATGAAATATACACATTTATGTACTATATTGTGTTTCTAATTTATATTCTTTAAAAAGTTAATCTTGCAACACGGTTAATTTATGGACTTACAGCGCATACAGTTATACTGAGTATTAATTACTATGTACATATGGAAATCACATTTTTTATAATAAAATTTTTTTTTCCATTTAATAACACTTACGGGAACTTATAAACTGCGACGAAACAGCTACGTACTACAATAATGCAAAACCGTAATTCTTCTTAATTTTTTTGATAAAAACAATAAAAACTAAAACAATATTTTTATTCAATATTAAAAAGGAGTCTGCAATGCTTAAATTATCATCTGAATAGTAAAGTATACATTTATGTATTTAACTACAACTGATCATAATAAGTGCTGAAGGGGATACAAATATGTTTACCTAGAAAAAAGGGTAGTTTGTTGATATACGCTTTTTTAATATGCTCAGAACAGTTCGTATTTGAGTCTTTCGCTTTATTTATTAAATTAGAATGGGGAAATAATCTAGTTAAATATGATTTTATTTCAATTTAATAAATTAACGTGTTTGAGTTTAGTTGATGAATTAATAGTACAATTAGATAAGAAGTGAATAATAGGTGTTTTAAATAATTCATTTACATTTTAATTCCTTTATCACACGCACGCATAGTTAAAAATTAATTGCTTTGAATAATTTGAATTTTACTCTACCTTTGTTAAGAACCTTTATGTAGAATTTTTAAATAAGAACATTTCTTTTTGTGTTTACCCTAGGAGAAAATGAAGATGTAGGTAAAAAAAAAAAAAAGAAATTAATTAATAAAATTTATTTTTCATTTTCGTAAGTATATTTACTAATCTAGTTAATATGTTGAAACAACTCAATTTTTAATGAAAAAATACATTTCCTTATGTTTTTGTCTATTCTATTAATTGCATATTAATTGCATAGCACGTGTATGATATTCGGTTATGTTATTTTTTTATTTTTTTTTTGTATACATGTAAATTTTATGGTTAGCTCCTTTGCTTTATCACTACACTTGAGTTAATAATTTACTAATATTTTTGCATAATTCTTTGGTAACTTAAAAAATCCCAAAAAAAAAAATAAATGAGGAAAAAAATTTTTTTTTTTTTTTTGATGCATTCGAAGAATTATCAAATAGGATTTGCAATTAAATTAAGCTTAGTTGATTTAATACATAGACAAAAATAGCTTTTTAATAAAGAATAAATCTACTCTCTTTAAAAGGGTACAAATTAAAAGTGTTGTAGAAATGTTTCAAAACAATTCTTATCATTTTACAACTAAGTACATAAGAAAAAAAAAAAATAATCACTCTTCTTTTGTGCTATTTCATTAAATATAAGTAATAACAAATACTGCTTTTCTTATGCTGCAATAAGAGAGGAGTTTAACATTTTTAGCAAGCGCAACAACCAGGTTTTTTTTTTTTTTTTTTTTTTTTTTTTTTTTTCTTTACATTTTTTAAAAAGGTCAAGCACAGTTACTTGATTAAGGTATAATTTTGTTTTAAAAATTTAGTTATTTTTTTTATTTTTTTTTTTTACAATTTTATAAAATACAGTTTGTTAGTTTTGAATATTCTTTTTTTTTTTTTTTTTTTTTTTTTTTGGTAATGCAATTTACAACTTTTTTGTCAATACCTTTTGTTTTTCTGCACATGAAAAGAAAAAAAAAGAATATTAAGAATAATTTTTATCAGTATAAAAAATTATATCTGTTATTTTTAAAAATTATAGTTATTAAATATTTGACTTCATTTTAAGGTTTATAATTATAATTCTTATACTTTTATATACGATTAATATATATTTACATTTAGTAAATTTTTTCTATTTAGATTTATCAATTTAAAATATGGAAAGGAAAGAATTTTATAATAGAAAATTTTGTATTCTTTTGAACACAAATCGTTGTCTTGTATCGTTGTATGCAATCATTTTTGTGTTGATTTTAGTAAGATAAAAAGTGTACTGAAATTGATATAGAATTTTACACTCTGTTCATAATATTATATATTAAAGTAAAAAAATCAGTTCATTATAATTCGTTTTTGAACATTTTAAATATATTTTCTTGTAGAATGTGCTTACCTTGAGTTGTAATGTTTCAGCAGAGTCACAATTAAGCAACAGGTATCCAAGAAATTTATCTGAGTTCAGCGGAGAAGAAAGTGAAGATGTGAGGAATTATGATTTAGAAGGAAATCCAGATGATTCGATGGAAGAAATAACAGATGACCTATATGATAACACTCAAGAAAATTTAAATAGCACAGGTGATGAGGTAAATGAGTTAAAGGAACAGTGTAATGTGGTCTTTCATGGTTTTAGCGAAGAAGATATAAATACAATAATTAATTCAGCTCTTGGTGATATATTTAAATGGGAAATCCTTAATAGATGGTTACAACTGCATGATGATAATAGAGACAAAGTTGATGCTCTAAAAGAATTTTTATCAGATTATTTGGAAAAATTAAAAAGTTTATATAATGTGGATGAGAATATAGCACAGGAACAAATGAACAAGACTAATCATACTATTGACTCAACCATAAGAATAACGGAGGATTATCACAATAAGCTTTTTTTCTATTATGTTATAAAAGATAATTTGCCTGAAAGAGAACATGAACGTTTTGTAAATATATGTAAAAACACGTTTACTTTATTTGTAAATGAACTATCTAATAATGGTCAGACCAAATTAAATAAAAGTGTAATCTCTTAGAAGTGAAAGGTCTAGAATGTATATTATGAAATGCGAAAGGAACAAGTAGAAACGTTTTAAGTACATTAAATGTATATACTTCTAAAACATTTTTTTTTGTTCATTCTGATTTAAGGAAAAATGATGTTAATTATACATTGCTGTTTAAGCTTTTCTATTCATACTAATAATGTGAAACCATTATATTTTATTAAAGAAATGTATTAAGATATTTTGAAGGGTGAATAGTGCTTTTTGTTTGTCTATTCTGAACACTTTTAGAAATGTATGAATTTTTATGTGTAAAATTATAATTTATAATTTTTTTAACTGATTATTTAAAACCGATTTAGTGGACAATTGCAATTGCGTTATAGATTTATTTTTTAATTTTTTTATATTTTTTTTTTTTTTTTGCGATATTTTCATGATAATTTATTGAAGTAATGTAATATAATATAGATACTATACTGAAATTATACTTTTTTGTCTCAAATAAATGAAAGACATTTTAATCCCAAATTGTTTTTGTTTCAATTTAAAAATTTACATTTTTTTATTCTGGTATATATATTTTATCACTTGTAATGAAAAATATCATTCGAATATTATATATATTTTAAAGATATGGAGATATTATTCACAAAAATACTTTGATATTCTTTCCAAAAAAGACTGAAAAATATTGAAGCATCTACAACACATGCTTAATAGTAAGCGTTTTTTACTTTTCTTATTTGAATTGAATCCACTTAGATTTACTTCTATGAATTTCATTGATTGTTTCATTTTTTATTTGAAATTTTTTCTAAATAACAAAAATAAAAAATGATTTATAATATAAAAATTAAGAAAAAAAAAAAAAAAAAAAAAACATAGGCTAAAGAATAAAGAGAACATATATTTAGATCATTAATATAGCCACATTGCCTTTAAAAAAAATTTATATATATATGTACATATATGCTGTAAAATTAATTCTTCAATATAATAAAATATGAAACATTTAAAACTTGTCCAGAAAAAAAAAAAATGTCATATAGTAGTAATAGATAAAATATTATACTACAGCTTTTTTTTAAAGCTGTTATTTATGCCCTTAAGCGAGAAATGCACATGCATTTATATAGAACATATCCACATAACATTTTAAAATATTTTAGATTTAAATTAAAACTGATTGATTCCATATAAGCTTTCGTAATAATTATTAAATATACAAGGTCTTATATAACTCAGAGAATGCTCTTCATGAATAATGAATATTGAATAACAAGTTGTTATTTTTAATAAAAAATTGTGTGCTTAAATATAATGCATTTGTAAAAATATAAAAAAATACGAATATGCATGAGCCCAGAAAAGTTGTTGTATTTGAGGACGTATTCCATATTGCACCTATAAAAGGGGTTCTCGGTGAAAAAATTAAAAAACTTTTTACATGTCCGAATCTCTCTACGTTTTAAAAGGGTAAAATTTATTATTAAAAAAAAAAAATAACAAAAACTTGATAAAAACTTTCACATATTAGATCAGCAAGCCATTTCTCTAAGCAATAGAAGTACAAGTATTTTTTTTTTTTTTTTTTTTTTTTTTGCAGCTATATTTCGACTACTTGTGTTATCTCGAATTCAAAAAAAAAAAAAAATTTATAATTCTTACGTCATAATATAAATATATATATTTATAAATATTTTTATTTATATTAAACAACATTATAATTTAAAATTATTTTTTTCTTATTTTTTTTTATATATATATTTTCATTATTTTTAATACATACAAGTTTTTAAACTATTTATAAAATCCTCTTATATGTTCTGTAGTATATTATATAACGTAATATTTTTGAATTATAAATCCTAGAGGAATTTGTATTCAAATAATATCATTCTTACCATTGTATATATTATAAATTTAAAATTTTTCGATTATGGCTTTTTTTAAGAAATCTAATTCTGATTCAGCTGAGAAATATTCAGCTAAGAATAATAGGAGAAATGAAAAATCTTATACAGTAGCCAATGGTTCTGAAAGAAACAGATCATATGGCTTTAATTTTGGAAGATTTATTCAATCGTCTCGTTGTATTGGAATTCTAGTTGTTGCTATTTATATGTTATTACTCGTAAGATATATATATATATATATAAAGCATGTATTTTGAATTGAATAAATTATTCTTTCTATTTTGAATTATTCATCATGTATGTAGTGCGAAGTGTAGGAAATCTTATATGCTTAAATGTGTTACTTGTGTTATGTGTATATTTGTACATATTCGTTATATGTTATACATTGTACTCTTAAACGGTTTTTAAATTTTCGAACAGAACATATCCCCGCTTGATAATAGAGTAATGTCTCAAATACAAAGAAGGAATTTATCTGAAAACAATGGAAATGGATCTTTCAGAGGAGGAAATTCAGGTAACAACAACGTCCCTTCGGTTGATTCTAATTCAGAAGATGATATATTCGGAGGTTTTGGAGATATTGATTTGAATGATGATGTTTTTCCAGTAGATCAAAACACTGAAGAATCAGATAAAGAAGCATCTGGTTTATCAAATGAATTACCCAAGATTAACGAACTAGAAATGATATTTTCCACTGATCTGACAAGGGAGGAATTAAATGATATGGTCAATTCTTTAGATGACCTACCTTCAAAGAATGATATTATCAACATATGGAAACATGCATATGCAATTGAAGGACAAGATTTTTATGAATTGATAAGTAGCTTATATAAATATTTTGGAGAATTAAAGGAAAAATATCAAGTGGATAATAAATGTGCTGTGGACCAATGGGGTAATGTCATTTCCATTTTCTACCATATATTATCAGAAAGAGAGGAAAATTATATTAAAAAGTTTTATGAATTAATTTTAAAAGATTCTATAACCAAAACGGAATTTGTAGATTTTTTTAATGTTTGTACAAAAGAGGCTAAGGAATTAAGAGAAACTTTACATGACATGGGAAAAAATGAGTTAGACGCAGAAATGATTCCAAAAAATTAAAGGAAATTTAAAATTATAATTTTTGAACTGCAAAAAAAGTTTAGATATAAAATAGAAAAACACAAAAGTATATAACATATACCATGTGTATATATGTCCTTGGAATATCCAAAAAAAAATAATATAAAGAATGGGTGATAAATAATGTATGTTTATATAATGTGCCAATTAACCTCAAAAGTTTTCATAAAATTATGATATATTTATGTAATTCATATACATTCCCAGATAAAGTATAAAAGAAGGCGTAAGTATATTTTTCGTCCTTTGTTGTATTATAGTAAAAATGTCACATGAGTTGCATATATAATAGATATTTAGTAGACAAAAGTAATTTAAATGGAAAATATATTATTATATGAAAAAGTACTTTTCAATATATTGCATACATCATTTTTTAACCTTCTTTTCATACACGATAGCATTCTTACATATGTGCATAAATATATATATATTATATGTATATTTACATTTATGTGTGTTGTGTGAGTGTCCTCTCTACTTATTTTGTTATGCTTTTATTGCTATCATCTTTTTAAAATGTTCGCTATTACTAATCATTTTACATTTATAAATCAGTGAATAGTAATATTGTTACTATACATGACTATGACTTTTAGCAAAAAAAAAAAAAAAAAAAAATATATTTGTACTATATGATATAGTATGACAAAAAACTTTTTTTCTAGCGTACAACTTTTTTATGAAATTATTAAGACACTGAATATTTTTCATTCTACACTTTAAAAATGATCATACAATTTTAATTTCAAAAATGAAAAACAGTAAATAATTTTTAATAAAAATTATAAATCTAATAATTAAATAATAATCTTTAAGAACTAGTATTATGTTGAAAGTACCCTTAGTAATTTTAATTTATATAAATGCAACATTAGCATGTAGGAAGAAAAATTTTAATGGTTAGATGGATTTATATTTTAATCATGTATCTAGTAAATGAGAATTAAAGGAGTTTAGATTAATATATTTGATATATTGATAAAGACAAATCATTCTACATTTTTTATAATTTTTTATTAATATTATTTTTAAATGAACTTTGTTCATTTCAGTTTCTTAACGAAGTTATTTCAATCAAATCTATGATAATATATTGCAGTTTAATGGCACGATTTTATAACACTAGTATTATGTATATGTGGTGTATAATAATTTTTTTTAATAATTGTTGCATTGTTGCATTGTTGCATTTTCATCTTGTTTGAAAATGGTTGTGCATTCAGAAACACCAAATTTATGATGCTGAGTGGTTGGACTAAATAATAGTGTTAAACTTGTTTATTTTATACATAGTTTTCTATATGCATTGTGCTAATTTGTGAATATGTAATTTAACTATAAAAAATATTTTCCATGCATTATTTCTATATTATGATAATATTCTATCGCAAAATAATGTATATTATCTATGAATAATTTAATATTAGGTATTACAATAAATAAATTATGTGAATCTGTAGTATTAATAATACATGGAAGTGTACATAGATTTTGAGATATTCTTTTAATTAAACGCATTGTGCTTATGTGCTAATATTTCAGTTAAAATGTTTTATTTCTCAATATTTGTTATAAAGAGATAAATATATTTTTAAATTAATTTGTATATGTATATATTACTATATTTTTAAGAAAGACATGTAAAAACATTTGGACAGGAGTATTGCCAAGAAACATAATACGTAATAAGATTACTTTTATATGAAATAGATGAAGAGGGGGTACACTTCTTATTAAATATATTATATTTTTATTTTAATTAACTTTTTATTTTGTAGAACTGCTTTTTATAATTGGTATTAATGAATATGTTTTCTTTGTAATGAGATAATTAAAAAAATGGCTAAAGCTTTTCGTGATATATCATGCATAAGCATATTGTTTCATTTAATACCGTAGTTGGGTTGAAATTAATTTGATGAGGCACTAAAATACATAAGGTAATTTTATTATACTGTAATGATAGAGAAAATAAGAATAATTAATACCTTATGCTTAATTGTTTTTATGAAGTATGGTGAATTAAAATATACTCTAATTATTACATATATGACGTTATGATGTTTTTATGCTGTGGGGTAAAGTTTATCCTATGAATAATACAACATTTCAAAAAAGTAATGCAGTATATCTCATTTAAAAAGGAATTGAATGAATACTATTTTAAAACAATGGAAAAATATTAAGATATGGAAAAAAATTTTAATAAGTGCTAAAAAAAAAGAAACACTCTTTATGAATTATAAAAAAGAAAAACATACACAAACACGAGAAATTCCCTGAAAAAAAAGAAAACATATTTATCAAATACATTGCTAATTTTTTTTAAAAAATTTTATAGTAATTATTATGAAGTAGAAGCCTAATTATAAAAATGTATGTAGAGATTTTTATTTAAGTCTTATTATATTTTTATATGTTAGATTAATCGTCTTCTGGTAATCAATCTAGAATTTGGTTCATTCCATCCTATATAGAGGGTTATATATATATTTATCATAAACATAAGTTGTATAATTTATTTTATCTCTTTGTATTACATAACATAGGTTTGCATTAGTGAAAAACGTAACATAGCTTTGTTTATGAATAGAGTTCATTATAAAACTCATGTATAAAAATGAAATTTCTCTTGTCACCTAGTATTACAAGGTAATTAATATATTATTATTGTAAAAATGGCACAAATTATTTGATATCCGATGTTTTGGTTCATTTTTTTAAATTAAATGTTATACCTATTGTATTGAACCTATACCCCTTCAAATTACAAATACGATATTGCTATTCTGTATAAGACGCAAACTAATAAATAGTTCTTAGGATAATATTCTAAATGGGTTGTATTATTATACAGATGCATATTCGATTCTACAAAATTATGTATTAAGTATTGGTCCATATTTTCTCCAGTTGAGTATTTAAATATTCCGTTTTTTCTTCGAATTTGCGTTGTAATCCAGGATCAAAATGTGGTAAACTAATATTAAAATGATATTTTAAGCAATATATGTTGTTATTATTTTAATGTAGAATTTTTTTATATATATGAACTATACAATTTGTTATACAACATTTATAATTTAATGTTTGATGTTTAATAACTTTTTACAAAATGATTAAAATTAGAGAAATTGCTAATATTTTAAATAATAATCCAATAAAATAGGTGTTGTATGATTACTGCTGTAACCAAAAGAATAAAAATATGAAGAATGCTGCAGTTCTAATTCTCGCCTCAGATTTTCTTTTGCTATTTTTTCTATATAACTTAAAACACTATTAGATTATCCTAAATAATTTTGAGATTTATTACATAAATTTTGGGAATTATTTTTACCTAGGAAACTACTCTTGATTTTATTACCTGTGTCTATATCTTATTCAAGGTGATCTCTTAATGAGATTTTTATTTCAATCTTTTCTCCCCTATTATAATTACTTCTACCATAGTATTCGTATAAATCAACTGGTATATGCATCAACTAAAAATTAATAGTATAACCATAATTTGAACTCTAAATACATGACAAATTTGTGAGAAATTTATTCTTGTTTTGTGATTATTTTCGTGCAAGAGCTACTTTTTTATCTGCATGAAATTTATAGATTAAAATATAATCGTAAAAACAGTATTTAAAATACATACATTTATTAATTTCTTAAGAAGTATGAACCTTAAGGGTTATATCTGAAAATTTATCTAAATTTATTCTGCTATTTTGACAAAATTTTACTGAAAGTTCTTCATATTATTTTAATACTAATATCCTTTAATACAAGAGTCTTTAAATGTTTGCAAAATAGTATCATTATCACCATCAAGCTTGACATAAAAATCATAGACGTGTAATTGTACAAGAGCAAAGTACCGAAAATAAAAATATTAAAAGAGTAAATATAAAATACATATATTCATTTCTTTTTCAATAACCGTGATCATTTAATCTATATGGATATATGGTAGTTAAAATATGTTCTGTATGTATAATTGAAAATAATACATAAATTTTCTCTTTTTCCTTAGTTTATTGAGGAGTGCCTTTTGTCATATACATGAATTGTAAATTGACGTACAAAAATATACAAGTACATATATATCTAAATTTAAAATGATACAGAAATATATTTCTCATATTTTATACATTGCTTTATTTATTAACTAATAAATATAATTAAAGTATAATATGGTAAACTATGATGAGTAATATGATTTAAAATTATAAAACATTAGGAAAATTCTTAAAAAAAATCATTAAATCCTGAACAAGCGAAAAATCTACCTTTATGAGATAAGTGTATCAATTGTAAGAATTTATGACTGTGATAGAAAACAAATTTTAGTTCAAAAATTCATATCTAAGATTATGCTTCTCTATAATTTTTTTTTTTTTTTTTGCTAATAATTTTTATTGTGTTTCTTTTTTGGAACCAGTAGTGATATAAGAGTAACTTAAGTTTATGGAATTTTTTTTCTTATATAAAAAGTATATTTTTTAAATAAACGTTAATAATGGAATATTATTAAGAATATAAGATTATATAATACCATAGAATATTTAAAAATAACATATATATATAAATAACTATTTTCTATTATAGAAGATTAAGAAATTGTATCAATGAATCTGCTTAATATTTTTACTATAATATATATATGTTATAAAACTTTAAATAATAAAATATTAATAAATTCAATAAAAATCAATTAAAATGTTATATTTTATGTTTAATTTAAAATATTATAAAATTAATTGGATGTATTATAACATTGTATTAATATACCTTTATATTCTTATATTATTTATGATTATCTACTTTAACAAATTTGGAGTAAATCACATCATTTGTGATCACAAGATTGAAAGTATATTAATTTAATATTCCTATAAAGTTTACATTAAACTGTATACAATATTAGACATTGCTTGTATAAATTGCATACTCCACTATGTAGGAGTATTACGTACCAACAAGATATGTTTTATTTACACAAACATAGGAACATCAATTGACATATTCTTCATGGTTTTAATAAAAAAAAATTATAAATATTATAAAATTTTTATTTTTTACATTTATAACTAACAATGATTATTAAGGAATAAGTTTACGAAATTATTATTTTAGAAAACAGAAAATAAATTATTAATTTACCTATTGGAGAATATATATTTGTAATGTATATTTTTTAAGCTTAACAAATATTCAAAATGATGTCCTTTATTATTATTAAATTATTTATACTCTATATTTTCATCATCCTTTATATTAGTCCTTACTTTATTTCCTTCTTCAAAATTTTATTTATTTTTTCAGATAAAAGCAATTATAATTGTACAATTTTTGAAAATACCATTAACATTTGAATTATTTCGTTGTTAGGAAAATGTGTAATATTTTTTAATTATTTTTAATAATTCTTTTTTTTCAAAGTAATTCAATATTTATCATGCGTTTTATATTTTATTATAATATTATTACATATTTATTTCAAAATATTTTGAGATATATGCTCTTCAATAATAATGGGATGGTTGAATTTAGGGAATGTGTTTTAAAAATATATAATGTAACAAACCTTTTACTAATGAACATGTCTCAATTTACAATTTATGATCACTATAAATATATTATTTGTGTAATAAAGAAATATTTAATTATAGCATATATATTTAGAAGTAAGGTATACTTTATATTTACTTGAACTTAATATTTTTCTCATTTAATTAGGAATGGCACATTAAAAAAAAGGTATAGATATGTTTATATCATATAAAATATTAAATATAATATTATTAATGATGCTTATTTTTAGTGAATAAATGTGTGCATCATCTTGAATACCTACATTTGTATATATTGTTTTTTAATTAAGTATAGTGCTTAGCTATGTAGAGGATTTTGAAATATCAATCTTTGATATTATATAAAAAATCATTAGAATTATTGAACATGATTATACAAGATATATTTAATATATAAAAATTTACATATACGCTATATTATATGCTATATCATGTCATTAATTTTAATACCATCTTATATGGTGAATAAAATTTGCACAAGAATTAAAATAATAATATTATAATTTATACCTAGCTTGGAATTGTAATTTATCTTCTATTAATAAATATTTATTTATTTTTTTATAATTATATATAGCACATGTTATTAATGAATACAGTGTGAATTTCTGTTTTTAATTAAAGGACAACTATACCTTATAATGATTATTTTTTGGTTTAGTTATCATGGATGGTAGTACTCTGGATCCTCACCTTTTAGAATTACTAAAGGAAGTATACATTAATTTTTTACTGTATATTCGTTAAAGATTATTATTTGAATATACTACTTTATATAAGAGTGAAATATTTTCCCCTTATAATATACATATGTGAATTTATATATTTTATTTTTACATACCAGGACCTTTCAACATTGACTGCTTCAGATTTATATAAATTTTATTCATCAATAACTGCATCTTTTAATGAAGGACATAGTAACTATCAATGCAGTTCTTTACGTAACTGTAATAGTAGTAATAAAAATGAAATTTGCATTTTATGTCAGAAGCTGAAAAAAATATTAAATGAATGGGAAAAATATAAAGAAAATAGTGATTTATCCGCTGACATGTCCTGTGATTATTTGAACCATTGGATATATGGTAAACTAAAAGACACTAAAGCACATCCTAGTGATATTGATTTGTTTTATAAGGAATGGAAAAATTTTACTAATGGAGGAGATTTGTGTGTTAACGTGCCATATAATAAGCTCAGTACAAAAGAATTAGGAAATAAGAAAATATTATTTGATTTCATTGAGTTTTATAGTGATATAAAAGACATAATGAATAAAGGCCACAAAAAAAATGAATGTTGTAAATATATAAAATACATTTTTAAATTATTCAATGTTATGAAAAATAAGCAAAATTGCAAAAAATATTCAATTTATCTTGATGAATTATATTTTTTTAAGGAAAAAATTAACAATGAGATGGATTTCCTTAAAGAAAAATGTCCTCAGTATCATTTACATTTAGAAATCGATAAAACTATTGATAATACTATTGAAACATTACCATATGAACAAGAAATATTTCAAGAAAAATATAATAATTCATCTCAAAATATTAGTAGTCACATTGTGGGAGAGTTTCCTTCAGAAATGTCTAAATATGTATTTAAATTTTTTTTTTATAAAAGTATATAATGCATAAATGTATTTCATTGTTTTAATATTATTGTAACACTATAAATAACATATACATGTAGGAAGATATTTATGTATACATACAATTAATTACTTTATTTTTAAATCGTAGAATAACGTTTTAAAAGAATTAGAAGCATACAAAATATACGATGAATTTAATAATAAGGAAAACCTTAATATATCTTGCAGCAACTGTGATCGTGTGTCTAGTTTTGAATTCGATTATCCAGGAATTACTGATCTTTGTGAAAAATTATATAGAAATTTAAAAAGAATATCTGAAATAACAAATGAGGAAAAAAAATATGAAAAATGTGGATATCTCTACTACTGGATATATGGAGAAGTATGGAGATTTTTTGGTAAAACTCCACAAAATAATATTAAAAACATAGTTCTTAATCTTATTGATGTATGGTATAATTCTATATATGACTTAAAGTTGTATGAATGTCTTTATATTGAGCATCCTGAAAATGGTTTTCGCCAATGGAAGGAACAGAAATATTTGCATGATTATTTTAAAAATCATGAAAGTATTTCTAAATGTACCGAAAAGGATGTTCTAGAATGTAAAATCTATTGCATATATATAGCTAATATTATTGGACTTTATAAGAAACATCTTAACGATTGTTGTGTATATTTTTATGATAACGAGGATTCTTGGGAAAATTGTGATAGTTATTTTAACTGTAATAAAAAATATAATCCGTATGAACTACTCTTAAAATTTGGCTGTGATGGTCAAGAACACAAGGAAGATATGGAAAAAGCCTATGAAGAAACAACAATTGATAAAAATGTTAAATTGTTAAGTATAAAAAAACCGGAGAAATTTAAATTAAATAAGATTGCAGAGGAAACACATACTAATGATGAATTATTTGGTGATCCCTTTAATGTAGTTGTATTATCTTTTTTTTCACTTATTGGGATGTTTCTAACATTTTTCCTTTTTTACAAAGTAAATGAAATTTTATTCTTGTAGTACAAATATTTTATTTCTATAAAATAATTTTGAAATAATTACATATATTTTATATATTTTATTTTTCCCCTAGTTTACCCCTTTGAAATACAGGACATATAAAAAATCAATAAAGAAGGATAAATTAATGAATGATTTTCATTCACAATACGCAAAAAAATCCTTACAGAATAAATCACATCATTTACCTAGTGTTTCGAGAAACAATAGAGTGCGCATATCATATTATGCAGGAAGCATGAAGAGTTAACATAAAATATGTGAACACATTTGTGGGAGATATATTTGGAAATGTGAAAAGTTATGTTTAAGGCGATACTGAATAATAATATTGAAAATAGAGTAAATTTAAATAAAAGATGACGTACTAAAAGTTATTATGTTTTATATATAATTTTTATTATAATTTTGTTATTTTAAAAATAATATATATTTTTTTTTCTGTTTTGGTATTTTTTTTGTTCTTTTAAAATATTAATTTTAATTTTTTTTCTTTTCTAATTATGATACATAAAAAAATAATATGCATAAATTACATGAAAAAAATTGTAATATTTTTTTTAAATAACATATACATATTTTTTTTTTTGGTTAATAATATTTTAAATTATAGAACTGAAATTTTAATCTACAGTAGTGACAGTGTATTTAACGATTGAATTCATTTGAACATGTAAGAATGCTTCAAAATGATATGTTTCCTATTATATATATTTCATATACATTTATTTTCTTATATGAAATGTATAATCGTTTATACTTAATTTTTATAATTTTTTAAATGTACAACGAATGTTTATATATATGTTTTACAAGTGCTAATTTCATAGTGATCTAAATAGGTATTTATAAGCTATTATATTTTTAATACATTTGCAATAAAAATTGTGAAATTAATTTAGTGTCGTTTTTACAATATGGTTATATTTGGAATTTTAGTTATATAATTTTTTATTATATTTATTATTGCAACGTTGTGTTATTCTGAGGCCTGTTATGATTTAGATATACACATAAGGTTTTGGTACACAAAGTAAGCATATATATATATTTATTTTTTATTTTCATATTAGATGATATATTATTTTAAACAATTTTATTTTAAAGCATGATTTAATTTCTTTATTAAGTACAATATTCATACTTATGGTGTAAAAATTTCATGAGTATACATTAGTTAAAGTAAAATGATTAAGCTAATATGTGTATTATAGCTTTTTTTTTAACTTAAATGAATTATATGATTTTAAGCAAAAGCACATATACATTCATTACATATAATTAAATTATTTATATAATATATATTATTGAAAACATTATTTCATTCCAAGTACACATTAACGAGCATATATTTTACTGTCGTAATAATTAACAAAAAATAAATTATATACATATATTATTTGATTATTCAAACATATTATATATATTTTTTTTATTATACTATTAATTTTTTAATAACACATACTATAGAATACAAATTCATTTATATGTAAGGATATTCCTTAATTAGGAAAATTATTTTTTGAACTAATTTATAGTACAGGAAACATATCATAGTCTATATAATATGTTAAGAGCTTCATGGTAAGATTACAGTTTGCATTATTATATATATGCATCAGTTCTTATTAGATATTATTGTATTATATATTCGCTTATATATTAATTACTTCTTTTATGCAATATATACTCAACAGATTATATATGCTGTTTTCATTATTATTTATTATACCTCTTGTATATAAAATTAATGATTTTCTTATTTATTTCTTGAATATTATTTTATGTTATATAACTTTATTTATATATACTATTTATAGTAATATCAAGAATTACATTATATGTATTTACTATAGTTCACGTGTGGTGTTAATATGATTGTTAGTAATATGTACTTTTGCTTTCAATTTAATTGCTATATTAATTTTTTAATACATAGGTAAATATTCTCATATTATTTATCATTCACTCAATAAATATTTTACTTGTAATACTTACGAAATATTTAATAATCGTGTTACTTATTATATTAATTTATGTATTAAAATTATTTTACCATATTATAATATAAGCAGATTTATTTATATATTAAGAAGAAATAAGAAGTAATTTTTCGTGAATATAATAATGAAATATAACAATATTAATTATAATAAACTTGGGGTAAATCAGAACATTTGTATTAACAACTTAGTACGAATTATATAATATGTTTAATTTGGAGTCATATTTATTTAGGTCTTGAGATTCATACAAATATGTAAGTCCTGAGATTGCTTCACTAAATTTATTTATAAAAATACCTTTTATCCTTTGTATTTTAGGGTATAAATTATGTTTTAATGGAGCATACTATTATTAGATTAAAAATATATATATTTCAGAATGTACTTATGTTATAACTATATTTTTCTATGTTAAGAAATAAATGTTATTACTGTATAGTAATTTTATGCACAAATATATAATTTATTTACCCTTCTTAAGAGAAAAAATGGGGAAAGTATACCGAAAAATGAAAATGTGAATGCAATTAGAATGACTTTTGCCCTCTTCCCAAATTCAGAAATAATTGAAAAATGGGGTTTTTCATGCGAAGTATCGATCTGAAGTTCATCAAAATATTCCTCTACTTTTGGTTTCCATGTTGCTAAATCAGAGTGATAAAAATAATCATCATTTTTTTCTTCAACTTCACATGAAAATGATAATTCATCATTATATGTTATATACTTTTTAAGGTATTCATTAAATTCTTTACATATTGGACTTACTGTATTTCTTTCGCATTGAACTTCTTTAGCGAGGTACATAATGTGAGCATTTTCAAAGTACTGACAATATTTAGTTTGTAATATTTTATCAGATGAAATTTTTTCTTTATCATTCCGGTCGTATAACATAAAATAATCATAAATACGTTTTATTTCTTGAATTTGATTTAAATTTAATCTATGTATATTACAAGGACTTACCCCAATAAATGTGTTATTTGAATTATACCATGCATCATATATCTTATTTATTTGAGAAGCTTCATAACCTTTATTTAATATATATTCATAAAACCAATATTTTAGATAAGTACATAATTTATCATCATTATCATTTAAACCATTAAAATATTGATTTTTTTTTGATATTTTATGTAAATTATCTATAAATTTTTTATAAAATTGTTCAATTTCCTTATCCTTGAAATCATAATACTGCTGTAAAGGGCAAGTAAATTCAGCCTCGTCTTCATCTTTACACGACATATCAAAAGTGTAATTGTACAGACTATATAATACATAATCCTTCAATGTTTCATCCTAATAATTATAACAAAAATTAAAACATATAAACTTATATACATCAATAAATAATATTGTTTTATTTATATTTATGAAAACCAAGTATTCTAATTACCCAATATTACTGTGCTTGTAGGAAATGATTCCATACCTCTTCTGCAAACATATTTAGAGTATAGTTATTTACTTTTGCAGCCATCTTAATTATATTTATAAATATTTATTCTTTTTTATATGAATAACAAAAAATTCCATACTTTATATATATGTCCTCTAATTCATAGCAATCAAAAATTATGAGGATTTTATAAAAGTCATTTTGACTGCACGCAGATGGAGGAAATAGATGCAGTAAGGGGAGAATAAAAACAATTTTTATTAATTTAATATATAAATGTACTGGAAACTGAAACTATAAAAGTTTAACTTCTTAAAATATTATAGGCTAATTTTATATATTATAATATATATTAATAAAAAAATTTTACATAATTCTGTTTAACAGTACATAGTAAAGCTAATGTTACTTTAAGGATATACGCATGTATGATGAAATTCTTGAATAATTTTATGTATTTAATATTTTAAATAACATATCATATTCTTTATAAGAGAATAAATATTATTATTAAATAAACAAATGATACGTTTGTACACATAATAATTGTATTGTGTTTTTTTATATAACAGTTTAAAAGCATGGGTATGCATATTTTTGAATTAATACAATTATTTATAATTAATATGAACTAAATACTTGGGTAATAATAAGAATATAATGGTAAGAAAATGTCATTATATATAAAATATATTTCTACACGAAAACAGATGTTTCTTTAGCTTACTGAAAAATTAACTTCTGTTACAACTAATTCTATCTAAAATATTGTTGTAGCACATATTTCTGTGTATATTTATAGTCGCAAAACACAGTTTACGCTTTTTATCCAATATATTTTATTTAAATCATAATATTTAACTCTATTGCATTACACAATTGATGTAGTATAAAACACTGAATTTTTATTTTAAATTTACCTAAACATGTGCGAATAAAAGTGCATATAATCGAATAGATTGTAATAATTAAAGAATAACAGAATTTCTTAAAAATCAATTAACATTGTTTTTTATAATTATATTATTAAATATTATGGTATCTATGTATATGTAGAATCGATAGCAATACAATATGAAAAAAAGTGTATTTATTTTACAAACTTTGTATTAATTTTCTAAATATATTTTTATAATTATTATTCTATATTTTAAACATTTAATATAGGATATATTTAGCCTTATTTTTCTTTATTTGACGTATATATACTTCCAATCTATCGTCTTAACATAACAAAAATTTTTTCAATATATATTTTAGACTGAAATAGTTGCAGTGTAATAATTAATAATTTTTTATTCTGTCAAGTGAGGCATTAGGGTAGAAGCATTATTACCTAAAAAACTAATAACAGTTATATAAATTAATAATGTTCTGTATTGTTTATTCTCTTTAAATTAATAGAGAATTCACTTTTATAAATTCAAATAATTAATGAGTAATAAAGCACTATTATTATATGAGATATATTTTTCTTTTAATTATGTATAACGGAGCATGGAAAATATGTATTTTACCTTTGTAGATTTCTTTGTGAAATGCACATGCAGATATGCATTAAGGAAAAAGAAGAATTATTTAACTTGTTACTACTTCTTAAAATTCATAAGGATTATTTTATTTTACCATTTTTTAAGTATATCCTTGTATTTTATATTATTATTTTTTATTTAATTTTTACCATTCATTGTAAGAACTTCCCTCCTTTTGAAGTTAATATAGTAATTACAGTTAAATATGGTCTTATAGAATTCGATAAAGTAAAATTATAATAATTCACAATATATCAATCATTTTCTATTAATATAAATTTATTCTTATTGCATTATTTCGCGTGTTAGAGGAAATTATATCATTATGAATGCATAATATACTTTGTAATATATTAATTTATTATTTACAGTATGGTATAAAATTCTTACTATCTTCTAATAAATGATATGAAATTTATTTATATGTAATTAATATTCATGTTTTATAAATTATATTTAACTTTTTTTTGTATCTGCATTATTACTTATTTATGTTTATGAATTATATATTTCTTTTTGGTTCATCAATTTATATTTTTTTATTACATATATATTTTTTTTTAAGAAATGTAATTTATTTCTTTGAGAGTAGTAAATGTAAATTTGAATTTACGTATGAATTTGAATAATTTTAATCACTAATACAATATGAAATGTGTATAAAGAAATATATAATTAATAATCATTACATATTATAATCTGTTTTTATATTTTAAGCAGACTCTTCTTATGCGTCACCTGCAGGTATTTATTTATGTATGGATAGTTTATTTTGTTTTTCCATATATAGCATAAAATAATATTTTTTAGCACTATTTACAATAATTATTGAATGTGAGTTAAAATATTAATTAATATATATATGTAAAGGTGACATTACACAACTCAGTGAATGAAAGGTATTACTATTAATTAATAAATGTAATAGTATTTTACTTTAATTTTCACTTCATATAATTACATTTTATTCAAATATAGCATGCATGAAAAAAGGTGAATAAAAAGCATGTCTTCCTTAATTATTATTACAAATTTGCTTTTTTTTTCTTAATATATTTATTAATTATGAGAATTATTATTAAAGTATTAGGCAGAAACAAAATATGATTATTATCCTATTTGAACAACACAGTCAGAAAAAAAATTGAATAAATGAATTACATATTTACAAAGGATATGACATAATACCGTACCTAATATATATATATATATATATATATATATATATATATATATATATATATATATATTGCTAAGATACATATTCTATAAACTATATCCATGGAAAAGATATCTTATAATTAACCAATTAATTTTAATAGCTTTAGTTATTAATATTATTATAAGTTGTAATAAGTTTAAGGAATAAAATTTTGCTCGTAAAATTTAAAAATTGAATAAGTAATATTATTTTAAAAATAAAATTATATTAAGATTATTATAATTATAGAGTGCACTGTATATAATTGTTATGATAAAATTATTAACAACATAATTTCTAATGATTTAAATTAAATATTTTTTTATGATAATTATATATATCTTACTTTATTTTTATATTTAATATATAAGAATTGTGGTATGCATATGTAATAAGAGTACTTTCTTGCATTATGTATTTTGTAATTTTATTGCAATTAATAATGATAAAAATTTATTCTTCATAGAATATTTTAAACACAGAATTATTTTTCATTTAAAAAACTGTTTTTCACACTAAACATGCTATGGTTATATGAATGATCCTTCTATACTAATTTACTTAATATAAAATTGAAATATGAATAACTAAAATATAACTAACATACTTAGAGTGTATTTAATACCAGGAATATAACATATTCTACAAAATTTTATAAGATTACAAATCTGTTAAATTTCTTATTTAAAATAAGACATAAGGGAATATAATTAACCTTATATATTGTGCACCTATTATACAAGACATAAATGCGAATTTAATAAATAAACACTTACCCATTATTACTATCATTTGATACATGTCATTTTCTTTCCTCTTTGTAGCAATAAATAGTATTTGTAACTTTAATATTAACTATAATGTGGTTATTGGGATGAAAGCGTATCAATTTATTAATGATTTTATGTGTTTGTCATAAGCCACTTTATATTAAATGACATAAATTTCGATATGTATTTTTTCGCTATTATTTTAAAAATATATCCTATTTATTTATTTTATTCTTTCGTATGTCTTAATATTAATTTACTTAATATATTTTTTTATTTATTTCTTAAGGAATGAAAGAAATGAACAATTGTTGTGCACTTTGATATTATTTTGAATAAAATAAAAATTCGATATATTGCATGATAGGAGTAAATTTTTTATTTAGATTTGATTATTCAAAAAAAAAGCTTTTAATTAATTTCATTATAAATATACACTATTTTAAATTTTGTACACTCTAAAATTTTTAAATGTATATGAGTATTATGAGTGGTGTAATGTAATGCTATAAAAAAAATGTAATCATAAAAATGATGTATTTTTGTGAGGATAAAAATTTATGCATATTTGTAAGACAGATTTAATCATTATTCTAACGCTATAGTAATCATAATTAAAATAATAATAGATGGAATGCAATTTTGTAAAACAGTAATTAATTTTTTAATATATTAAAATTTTTTATAGGTTCTATAAAATCCTTATGTAATAATATAAAAGTTTCTAATTTATTAGCTAAGGCATTTTAGGACTAGAACAGATATATCATTATATTTTTTATATGCATCAATATAACCAGCAATAAATTAAGTACAATTATTTTATTTAGGAGACGCCTTTTCGAAACTGTGGAATAATTCATACATTTTATAGAATTATGTAATGTCGTAAAACATATCAGCATTTATATATTCTACATATAAATTAAACAATTCTAAATTGAAGTAATATTTATTATTTTCGCAAATTCTTTGATTAAATTCATAATATTATATTGAAAATTATATTTTAATACTTCCTCATTATACATCCCATAATTCAAGTATTTGCATCCTATATCTGCGTAATAACAAACATCTATTTTTTTTATCTTATTTAAGTAATTCTATAACTTGATAAAATTCTTTGAGTAATTTTGGAATTATATAGTGTTGAAAATGTCATAGACATATAAATAAACAACATATTAAGAGTAATAAAAACTATCTAATTTAACATTTTATATAGTTAATAAATTTACAACAACATATATAAAGGAAAACAAAAGGTATAACATAAGAATATCAGAATTAATATTTATATGGATGTCCTATTGTGTTGTATCAATAATAACGTAACAGTGTCATAATATAATATTCATTTTTATTGTTTTATAGAATTGTAAATATTTTTATGAGTCTCCCCTATTTGGCAATATATTGTATAATATATTATTCTTACAAAAGAATTTTACTTGAATAAATAAAGCCATTCATATATGTATGCTAATTATATTAATATATTTATGAATAATACATGTTTTTTATTATTTTAAAGATAAATGAATATATGTTAGTGTATTTACTTCTATTATGTTGTGTTTATAATAAGAATATATTATATATATTTAACAATATAGTATAAAAACTGTTGATCAAAGCAAAAATATGTCAGAAAGGTTAATGTTACAAATTAATTATATTTTTCGATTCTTATTTAAAAATTATAAATACATAATTTTTTTAATAACATTTTATCTAAAATAATATATTATATTTAACGTAGATGCATATAGTAATCAATGGACAATATATACATTTATTTTCTTCTTCTTAATAATTGTACATAATTAAAGATAATTGGATTATGTTATTAATAAAACATTATTTCGAGAAACTAATTAATTACTGATATATAAGAAATATTAATTAAATTATTATATTTAAAAATTATAAGGGATTATACTATTATATTATACAGTTAACAATATTTCATGACCTTATATATAATGTTAATTTGAATAAAAGAGGAAACATTATATAAATATATTAATGGACAGTAATTTATATCAAATTAGGGGAAAGAGTTTTCTAAATAATAACTATCCTAATTTAATATTGAATATTTTTTTTAAATACACGCTCCATTTATATCTATGAGATGTATTTTTATATATAGCTTCATTCATAGTGGAAGAATGTAAAAAGTATATTCATTTAATAGACTTAATGAATTATATAAGTTTACTGTTTACATCACACATATATATAGAAAAAACTAAGTTTTCATATTATTTATTAATTATAAATAAAAAAATATAAATACATTAAATATTTTAAAAAGTACATATGTCAAATAAAGACATCATTGAATTTTAACATAGTGAAAATGTAAAGGTCATGCAAAAATTAGAGAACATTTAATGGAAATGCAACATATAACATGTTATTCTTATATGTGGTATTATAATATTCCATATGCATATACACTATAATAATTATAAAATATATAATATTTTCTGGTTTTTAAATTATTTATCATTCTTTAATACTATGTTAATATTTATTCTATTTCACTAAAATATTACTATATCATACTGTATTAATTTAGTAAAAAAACAAACCAAGTACAATAAAAAAAAATTGTTCCTATATTTGAAGAAACCTTTTAATAATTTTTCACACGAAAATTTGTCACTATATATGGGAAGTTAATTATGAATGATCTATTATATTTTATTAATTTTAGTATTTTTATTAGGTATAATGATATCTTAGAAAAATACGTAGAATGTTGTATTTTTTACAAATACATGTGCAGAGATCATATTTGTTTTCTAAAATGCATAGTGTTAAAAGGATACACTTTTTTAAATAGTTAAAAGAGATTATGCAAAAATACATCATTAGGAACAAAGCTTGGCATCATTTTTATTTATATGCTGAAACAATGCTTTTATATATTTTTTATGAGAATCGTACTATTATAAGTACACTAAATATATCGTTTAAATTTTTGGAGGAATAATTTTTATTTTTGGGTATAATGTATATGTACGTTCACTTTAAAAGTACATATAGATACGTTTTTTTTTATTTTTAAGGTCACCTTATTATTTTTTTAATTATATCCTTCAAATTTTCACAATTAAAAAAAAAAAAAAATTATATAATATTGTAGCAAGCACAATAATATTTATTTTAAAGGCATTACATTTTAAACTTTTTTTTTTTGCATAGTCTTTATTTGTGTGTTATCATTAAAGTAAAATGCATAAGCTGTATGTTAGAATAAAACAATATTACTCCTTTGATTAATTATATTTTTCAGAATTATGTAATGATGATATTAGTAATACAAATTTTAACTACAATATATATTAATTTTTCTATTGCTACATAGTTATACTTATGTATTACTATAACTGAAGTAATTACTTTATCACACTGTACATTTATAACTATTTAAATTTCTATATATAGTATTCCCCAAACATTATTATAAATTAAGTGTTTGTAAGAAATATATCTTGAAAAATATATTTTTAAGAATATTTAATATATGTTAATTTTTACCACACTTACATTTATTGTTATGAACCTTAGGATGAACGGCGTAATAATGTGCTAATGTTAAAATAAGTAATAGGATTACATATTATTTTAATTATTCATGTAAATTTCTTTAGTAATGTGTTTTTCTAAAATAATTATTTTTATTAACATTAGATAATATGTTATATTATCTGTAATTTATTATGTTATATCCCACGTTTTGTTAAAAATTAATATATGACAATTTTTTGTATTATCCTTTATTTATATCATCATTATTTTAATATAAATTATATCTTTATAATATTTTCTTATGATTCTAACAATTTTATATGTTAAAAGTTGTTTTGTTTGAAAAATGAATAATGCCATAAATAATACCATTATAAAATACGATATGAATTAATTATTAATAGTAAAGAATTACATATTATCTTTCTAAAAAAAATCATTTTAAGTGATAAAAAATATTTTATGAAAATGAAAAAGAATAGTTAATAATTATATCAGCTGATATTATATTTTAAGTTGATCTATGTTAAATATAATTTGTCCTGATTCTAAATAGTGGTATAATTTAGACATAATAATTGAGGTAATTTGAATAATACTATATGTGAAATAACATACTGTTTTATATACAAAATTGTTTTTTTAATTTTGAAACATGTTTTTACTTTTTGTTTTTTTTTTTAATATACAATGTTTTAAAATTATATATACTTAAATGTATTTGTGCTGCTTAGTGATATAGGAGAATATAAGAATTATTTATATTATAAGAATATTTAAAAAAAGTAAAATCTCAATAACATTAGAAATATATAATAATTTTAAGATAGTAATAAGATGTCTTATTATAAATAAGTAATACATATATATATCCACAAAACATTTAGGATAATTTGAATAATATGGCTGATAATGTGGTGAAGGAAGCAATACAGTTGCTGAATAAAAATGTAAGACATCCTTTGTTCATCAGAAAAACTATATGCGACACTTCTTATGAGTGTGTCATTTCTGTATAAGAACAGAATAAATGAATATATTAAAATTAATTCTTATATGTATAATTATTTTTAATTGTTTTTATATCAGGAATCAGTTAGTAATGATTTAAAATTTATTAAGTTTTATAATATGATAATAAATACTATTATTAATAACACATATAAGCATGGAACATTTAACAAATGTGGTAAACGTGCTATGTGTGATATAAAGGATAATTCGATTCGTCACATTTGTTGCAATGCTGAATATATAATTCAAAAATGGGGTTCAATTTGTAAAGAATTTCGTATAAATAATTATACGTGTAATGATTTTTTTATTTATTGGTTATATGGAAAAATAAATGAGAGTAAATGCAACGCAAATGAAATTAATCAGCTTTATAATAATGTAAAAGATTATTGGAAATGCGGAAAATCTGATAAAAATTGCGTCAACATTGATAAAAAATGCGTCAACATTGATTATAAATGTGTGAACACTGATAAAAAATGCGTCAACATTGATAATAAATGTGTCAATACTGATGAAATATGCGTTGAATCTGACATAAAATGCTTCAGAAAATTTTGGCATATAAAAGAGAAGAATGTATTAAAGAATAAAAAAGAATTATATGATTTTTTGCAGTATTATAAAACTATAAAAATTTTAGTAAATAAAAATAGTTCTGTACACAAAGAGAAGTATTGTAATTATATAAATTATATTTTTCTTTTATATGAAAAAATTCATAAAGATTATAATGCGTTACATTCAGGATACTATGATGAAGAAATAGAACGCTTTAAAAATATTTTCAAGGATGTAGATAAGGAGTTTGCATTTTTACAATCTCAATGTTCCAAGAACAAGGTAGAATTAGTATTAGATAACGATAATAAAAAAGTACGAGCTATAAGAGAAGATTTAACTACGAAAATTACAGAAGAATCCTTGAAATTGTTTCAGAACATAGAAACGGTACACTAGTTACACCTTCACATAAAAATAGAAAATGTGTATATTAATGTTCATATAAATAATTCTTGCAAGAATTTTCTATTATTAATAAATGTAAAAAAAATTTCCTTTGTGATAAGTATCTATTATTGTTACATATTTGGTCTAATTTTCTACATTCAGGGTAACTTATGGAAGACTTTACAAATACATAAATTTTATTCATGGTTAAATCAAAAATATGAAGAAATTCAAAAAATACCAGAGAATCCTGTATCCTCAGAAGAATATATTAATAAAAATACGACATTTAACAAATTATATAGTACTATTAAAAATATATTAACTTCTGGAGATTATACTTTTTCAAAACAGAACAATTCAACTATTAATAAGAACTGTGATTATATTAACTATTGGTTATATGGGAAACTGAAGGATAATGAAGATTTTAGAAATATCATTCCATTTCTTTACGATGTTAGGAAATTGTTTGTTAATGATAAATTGTGCAAGAGTAAAGTATATAATTTTCATATTGAACATTTAGAAAAAAAAATTTTTTTATATAAATTTTTAGAATTTTACAAGATTTTAAGATCTAAATTTGATGTTCAAGAGAATGGTAAAAAGATTGAATACTGCAATTATATAAAGGAAATTTTTAATTTATACAAAGATATGGAACAGGATAAAGAAAATTTACGTGCATACGCTGAAGAAATAAATTATTTTAAAGAAACATTTTTAGAAAATATTCATGAATTAAGCTTCTTAAGTAACAGATGCCCTGGAAAGTGTCTAAAAGATATATTCAGTGATAAATATAAAAAAAAATGCAAGTCGGAACAAGAACCATCAAGTGAGAAGCAGAATGCCGCATATGAACAATGCTCTGAACATAACAGTTCTACTATACACAACAGTGAAGATGAAAATGTAAAATGGTTTATGAAATTTAATTTTCATAACTATTATATAATTATTATGTGTATTATATAATGCAATTTATTATTTTTTGCAAATAAATCTTATGTATTAATCTAATTTATTTATGTTATATAATTTCAGGATCTTATTCTAAAAGATACACAATTGTATAAATTATACAATGAATTCAATAATGATATCAACAATGATTATGAAAATTATTGCACAGAATTAAATCGTTTTGAATGTAAATATAAGGGGGGTTTTAAACTTTGTTCTAAGCTTGTAAAAAATTTAATGCATCTATCTAGAATGCCAAAAAATGAAGAACGTAATAAACATTGCTACGCATTAAAACATTGGTTACATGAAGAAATAAGGAAAATATTTCATTCCAATTATACTGATGTAAGTACTGAACAAGTAATGAAAAAATTTAAAGAAGTAGCTTTTTATGTTAATAATAATTATTTATATGACAAACCTTGTTATTGTTTTTTCGATGGCTCTTTGAATACATGGAAGGAGGAGAAGCAATTGCATGATTATTTTCAAACTTATGATCAAATTAAAAATATGATTGAAACAAATGATAAAGATTGCAAAAAATATTTTAATTATCTTACTTCAATTAATAAATTATATGGAGATCATTTACAGAAATGCTGCTATTGTTATTATGATGGCGAGTGTAGTGAAGATTGTCCAAATTACTTCAAATGTAGTGATGAGTTTAATCCATATAATATTTTTTTAAAATTAAAATGTGGGGAAGAGTATATAAAAAAATTTAAAGAGGTTAAAAAGGCGCCATCCATCGATCATTATGTCATAACAGCAAGTCTAAAATCATTACTATATAGAAATATGAAAACAGCATATGATATGTTCTACATGATCACATTATCCATTTTTGGAATGCTTGGAATGTTTCTAATATTTTTTATTTTCTATAAAGTAAATAAATATAATTTTGTAAATATATATACATTGTATTTTTATTTTTAGTCTCCATCACTTAAAATCATAAGCTAAATAATCAATATGTTATACATATATGTATTAAACACAATTTATTTTAGTTTACCCCTTTTGGACCATATTTACATAGAAATGTGATTAATAATAAAAAAAGTAACAATAAAAATTATAAAGGATATGATACAAAATCGTTACGAAACAATCTAAGACATCCGAGTAAAAAAAGAAACGATAGGAAAATTCAATTTTCTTATCTAACTGCATAGGATACTTCTAACTAGTGGAAGGATTAATATCATAAAGCTTAGTATATATATGTTAGGAAGCATTAAAGCAAGTTTTTGTAAGATATTCAATATGATTTGCATGATGATAGGAAATGTCTAAGTTAAAAAAGAATGTATTTATTATTTTTTTAAAACATTTACCTTTTTTTTTTTTTTTATCTGTTAACTTTATAGCTTTAGAGATGTTCTTATAACTTAAATTTTTTTTTTTTTATTTTCCCTTTTAATTTATGTTTATGTAATATTTTTTTAGAATTTATATATAAAAGATAATATAGGAAAATAAAAAATGATGATAATTACCTTATATTATAAAGAATTTGTCAAATATTTGTTATAAGATAGCAATGTTAATTGGTAAAATCATATTTCGCACGAATGTATTAACAAAATGGACTAAAGTAATCAAAAATGTAGAAATAAAAAATTTATGAGCTTCTTAATATTATTTAACGTTGAATTTTCATTATATATTATTGGCTTTGTTCTATTAGTGTATTAAAAATATGTATATTGAAAATGAAGTATTAAGGAGTTTTTAAGATTTCAATATATGGGTTTACAAAAAGTTACCTTTTTTATAAAAAGAAAACAGGGTTCGATATATAGAATCAATATATTACACAATAAGAACTTAACATGTTTTATTATGTTGCACTATTGTATTACTGTTATCAATAAAATCATTAAGAAAATACTTAGTTCAGTATATATTAAAAAATAAATAAAAATATTTATAGCATTTTGCAATATGGTGAAGAAGATATAATTTTATAATATTTAATTATGTATATGTAGGAATTAATGTGTTTTAGACAAAATTTTGGGTATAGAAATATAGATCAGTAATATATTTTATTATAATTAAATAATTGTGTTTTTCTCTCTAATGAAAATAAAAATAAAATATATTTTAACACCATACAATATTGTTAGAATATTAATTGTAAATTATTACATCTTATGGAGTATTTATATATATAGTAATACACTAATGTTCAAAATTTTTATGAATGATTAGGAACTTGCTAATTATTTAAATTAAGACCATAAATATAAAAAAATCCTACAAATAATGCTCAGAATGATGTAATTTAAATTAGTAAAACAGGATAAGGCTACATATTAATAAGAAATATTTTTAAGCAGAATCATAAAAAAAGGAAACAATAAGCTCTATTAAAATAGTTTAATTATTTTATATTTTAATTATTATAAAATGACATAATTTAGAAGCTATGATATAAATTATTGTAATAATCCAATTAAATGTTATACACCCTTATCACATACATTAAATAGAATATATTTCATCCTACATAATAATTGAGACCTATGTCATGGGTAGAGATGTATAAGGTTAAAATATATATTCTTAATATTTAACTATGTACAAATCATTTAAAGATCATTTATTGGATTACTTTTTATAAATCATATTTTATACATAAATATTTTACATTTTCAATCATAAAACAAAATATATAACACTTTTAGTTACAATACTGTAATAGTTGTAAATACGAAATAAGAATTAACATAAAAAAAGAAGAAAAAGACTTTCCTTTACTATAATATATTTAGTTTATTTTTGGATTAAATGCGAGTGAAATACATAACATGGAAGTATTTTTTTTAGAATGAAAAAAACTATTTAACTGTGTGTTTAATTATTAAAAAGCTGTATTGCAATATATGAATATTACAATAATACCACACAATTTATATGACATATAACATGTGTATTGACTTAAAAGAATAAATTAAAGTTAAAAAAAAAATAAATTAAGAATATTTTTTAGGTTTCCATATTTCTCCTAAATAAAGTATAACTACATTTATTACACTTGCTGTAATGAAAATTATAGAGGTGCTAAAAATATATATATGTAAAGTACGATAATTTAAATATCATAATTACCACTAAATCTTCAAAAGACAGTTTGAAGTTGTAAATGTTATTTCAAATTATTATGTTATACAGAAGATAACAATTTATAGACATTAAATTTACGGCTATGTACATAATTTTCGACGTTACAAATATGTAAAAGTAGTAAACACTTTGAATTTTTTTTTATTTTTCAAAAGAAGTTTTTACGAAAAATTAAAAAAAAAAATTTTATTTAATAATATCTTCTTTTATTTATATATAAATGCAGTATCATGCTTATAAAGTAATTAATTTATTAAATAAAAAAAATTATAGTGATTGAAAAAACAAAGTTTCCTTATTTTAATTAGGGGGAAATTAATGGAATAAAACTTGATTACCATATATAGCACGTTTTAATAGTACAAATATAACTAAAAAAAATATACTTATGATTATTATATTGCACACATAATAAAATTAAAAACAATAAATATGTACTATACACATACTGACAGGAAGAGCCTTTTATTTCTTTGCTTCGAATGATACCTTTTTTGCAATCAAATTAGCATGAAAAAAAAAAAAAAAATTATGTTATTACATTTATTCTTAAATAACTTAAAGAGATAATAGATATCATACTACATTTTATATTAGTTAAGGAATTTTACTATTACAAAATACTTTTAACCTAACTGCAAAGATTGTATGATGCAAATATAATAAATGCTTGAAATTGTCAAACAAAAGTACTATGAGTAAACATTAATTCAAAGCTACATTTTTAATTTTATTATTATTAAAACAATTTATTCTATTATATATCATTAATGGATTTACAAATGATAGCATTAAATTTTTATATATTTTATTCATAACTTAACATTTTTATTAAAAATGCTTTTATACATTAAGTTAATTATTATATATATGATTAACCTTAATTGTAACTAAGAATATGCTCTTAATGTAAAACACTATTCGAAAACAATACCTCTATGTTATGGAGTGTATTGTGTAAAAATAGGTTACTTATTGTGATTTTGTATGTACACACAGATATATCATAAAATAATTAATTAGTCTTTGTGAATTTTATTCATGTGAAAACATGGAAACCTTGACTGAGGATGAACTGGTACTTATTCGAAATTTGTTGAGAGAATATAAGGCGATTTTTTATTTTTGTAGTGGAATAATCAATATGATAAATGAAAGATATTACCCTGGAAAAGGCATATAATAGAGTACGTTTCATTTTTACTACTTAATTTCCAGGAGAACCTTTTGAAAAAGTTACCTGCCCATGAAGGGTATAAGAAACTTGAAGAAGAGGTTAATGGCAATGAGCACGATAGTAAATGTAATGACCTAGGAAGTGATGCGACTGTTAAAAATATTTGTACAAAATTTTTGAGGAATATAAAAGATTTAATCGATTCAAAAATTAATAAGAAAGAACACACAGATAAAACTTTGTGTTTAATTTATTGGATACTTGATGAATTAAGAAAGCATGTTAGTCATAATTCAAGAATTATTAATGGAGTAGACATTAATAAAATTGTTCATGTGGGGAATAGATTTTACAGGGAGCATAACCCAAATGTTTTGTTCTATGACTATGAATTAGATTTAGAAAAGTCAAAAGAAGAAAAACATTTGTATGACTATTTTAAAAATTATGACAAACTTATTAAATGTGACAGTGATGATTGCAAAACTTATTTAAAATATGTTAATTATATCAAAAAAATATATTATAAGCATAAAATGGGGTGCATGTGGTGGAATTGTGATTATTTTAATTTTCATGAAAAGTACTATCCTCATGTTCTGATATCACTACTAAAAGAAAAAATTAACAAATTTAATAATTCGGAGAAAAATGGAAATCCAGGAGAAAATTCTGAACAATCATCGGGTTCCAAAAGTTCCAAAACCGAAGTTGGCATGAAAATTAAGTATATATATTGCTCTAAAATAAATGATACAGACATAACGTTAAATAGATATAAATGTGAAGACCCAGCATATCGTCAACACTCAGAAAAAAAAACTTTTGGTAAACCTGTTAAAAAAGGGCCTCATGGGGTAAGCACATTACAAGCTCTCAGGGGAATAAATGATTCAAGGTGTATGGCTGTTTATGATAATAAAAATAATTTCCTTGGCCTAAATTGCAATGCTACAAGATATGAACATAAAAATGAATTAAAATACACAAATATGAATAATAAAGAAACAATGGACCCAAAAGATGGAGCTCGTAAATTAGTAGATTCAAAAAAAGAAATAAAAAATTCTGAAGATTCTGTGAATGTAATGCCAGGAACTGAATTGTTTTCTGCGTACCGTTATGTATCAAGCAAGGATATTGAACATGGTAATATTGAAGAGGAAAGTACTTCAGATTTACACAGTATACAACCTGTAACATTATTTCCTGAAGTTTTAGAAGAAGAACGTAAACGCTACATGGATCCTATAGATCATACATGTGAATATTACATTTCAAAAGAAGATGAAATAGTTTGCGTTAAAAAATTAAAAGTAGATGATTATACGAAAAATGTAAAATATAATGATTTCACAATAACAAATAAAGTAGCTGAATTAATAATCAGGGAAACAGATGGATTACTAGAGGTGTTAGACAAGAATTCTATCACATCAAACTTCAGCATAAACCGCATTCTTACTGTTGTTGCTTTAATTGTTGGAACTTTTATTGTTCTTTTTTTTTACATTAAAGTTAATAAGAATATCACTGTAAAATATCAATAGTTTATGATATTACGTAAAAATTATGTATTTTAAAAATATGTAATTGCGATACATATTTTACTTTTCATTTTTGTACATTAGTTTACACCTTTAGGATACTACTTACGTAAGCATTTGTTGAAAAGGAGAAAAGTCAATAATAATATTTATAAAAAAAATACGTCGAAAATACCTTCACGTAATAAGAAATCATATCCTATAAATTCTCAAAAAGAGCGAATACAAATATCCTATCAGTATAAATAAGATGCTTTGTCTTATATTTATATATTGTAAACAAAAATTTTAGGAGTGTCCACACCATAAAATGTGTGCAAATATATATATGTAGTTATAATAAATTAAAAAAAAAAAGAAGAGCTTCATATATATGATATGAATAACGTGAAAAAAATAAACCTATGTTTTAAAAATATAGCAGCTAAATGGTTATAGTAATACACATATTTTGTAAATATCTCAATGTGAAACAAACAATGTTTGACAACATTATTAAGTTTAGAATACTTTTTAATCTTAATATATTACAAATAGAAAATAAGTAATAGGAGGGTGTATATGTTACATATGTAATATAAACAAATGTATATTGTGTAGTTACAGATATGAAATAGAATAAGAACATTATTACGTTTGAAAAGAGGGAAAATTGATTTCCACATACTTTTGAATAAAGAAAAAAATACAAACAATATTCGACACAGGTAATATTGCTCAATATAATGTAGACAATTATGTTTCCTTTAATATCTAGGTTTGTTGTGTAGGATATTTATATTTATTTACATTATGTAATAGTAAAAAAAAAAATATATAGCATTCCTTATTCTTCCTCAATTTGTTGAGAGATAAAATAAAAAATATATCATAATTTAAATTAATTAATATGTATATTTAATGATTAAGTATATGAGGATTCTTTTTATATGAAATATCAAATATTACATTTATTAATTATTTGATAACCATATATATATATATATTTTATAATTATTTTTAATTAAATGTTCTACATTAGAACTATTCTTTAATTTACCTGTTTTTATAATGCACCGTTTTGAATAATATACTTGATCAACCTTGTTTGAATTACATACCTTTATTTTCATGAAGCATATATTAAATAATATATCACTTTAGTGAGTTATAATTCTATTTTTCTATTGTGGTTATGTGTATTCATACACGTGTTAAAATTTGCTTATTAAAAACATCACTATATTTTCATTATACATTTAATTAATGAGTATATCCAGATCTTCATTTTAACTGTTATTTTGTTCTATATTTGTTTACAAGCTTCTCGAATTCGGCCATGATTTATGTATGTAATTTGTATAATTCCATTTTTATTGTTATAATAATTATTATTAGTTTCTAAATCACTTAGTATTTGTAAAGCACAAAACTACACACATTGCAATATATTATATAAGCATAATAAAAATACAATAAAAACACTGTTTTCTGTCTATTTAACAATACATAGAATAAAATAAATTAATATTTTATATTAATAAAACCTTTTTATAAAATATAAAATATTGTTTTCTTTATAAAATTTGTCTTTGTGTGCTAAAACATTGTTTATTTAGTTCGGAATAGTCATAATATATCGTTAATTACACGAAAAAGTTTGATTAATGAGTAGGATAACACAATTTTAGTACAAATCTCTTTTTAAATTCATGAAAAAATAACAAATATTGAAATATACTTGGTGTTGAATAAACATAACGATGAGCTGTGTCCCCATTTTTTCTATAATAACTTGCATCTATAAATTTTTGTTATGTTAAAAAATACCCTCACTATTATTACTTTTAAGCTTTTCATTTATATAGCTTGCATTCTTTTTTAGTATACTCATTATTGAAATAAGTATATTTAAATAATTTATGCACAGATAAAAATTTTATCCTTTTTAAGTAAAATTTTTAGTTTATAACCTTTTTTAATTGAAAAAGTAAAATAATGTTCTTATATATAACATATTGTGACATCATAGTGAATTAAAAAAGGATCTTTGTAGTGACAAGAAAATATATACTACACAACAAGCAATAAAAAATGACTATTACAAAATTTATTAGTAATTTATTTCTTTTATTTATTAAAATGTTATTTGTCCTTCTCATATTAAGCTAAATATTTTGTGATAGATTTTTTCCTTTTATTTATATTTAAATATTGTGAAATGGTATTCGTGAAACATGAAAAAAAAAAATATATACATGAAATTCATAAAACCTATAAAAAACAAATGAGATTATTATATTTGTATGCATTTTAGATTCAAAAGCATGTGTTGTTATTCAGCTATTATATGACAATGTTTATATTTACAAAATAATGTGCTTAAGTTATAGGAAGTTGAATTCCTTTTTTAAAGAACCACAATAATAGTTATATTTTATAGTTACATAAATTATGTGTAATTTTTACTCAGACTTATCATTAAATATAGAATTATTGCAAGTTAATGTATAAACTATTAATTGATGTAAAACTATGCATCTTCCATTATTTAATATTTTCCATAAAATGCTATATCCCTAATGTTTATTTTATTTTTTCAATATTATGAATTTTCCTTTCATAAGATAGAAATAGGATTGAAATGGCTTAACCTTAAATTGAAATAACAAGTTTGTTATTCACATTAAGTAGTTATTTAAAGTGTTCTTGAGGAATTATAAGGCAAAAACTTTATGTCTCCAGTATTTATATGTAGGCATTTATGACCCTGAAGGCAGTTGTTATTTATTGAACATATATTAAAGAATAAAATGACAGACCAAAGTGGGAAAGAATGGGTGAGCTATTATTTTATTTTTTTTATAAGTTATGAATAGATTAATTATATGTATGCCTTAATTATATTTTACTCAATTTCTTCTTTGAAGGAAAATTTTGCTTATTTGTAAATATTTTTTGATATATAGCATGATGAGTTGGATTGGCTACCTTCATTTGATATATATAATAAATTGGAAAGCGTAAATGTATCAGGTATTAAAAGTGATTGTGATGATTTAAAAAGTGTGAATAAAGATGTAGTACAGATATGCAAAATGGTGGCAGAAAATTTAAGGGATTTAGATAACTTAAGATCTAATGTACCTACAGATCCTTGTTATTATATGCAACACTGGACGTATTATAAATTAAGAAAATTAATTTCTGTACATCCCAATTCAATTAATAAAGAAAGTATTTATGATAAACTTAAAAAAATAATGGATAATATTAATAAAGAAGTATTAAAAAGGCACCCCTGCAAATACTATTTTGATGGTGAATTCAGTGAATGGAAAATTGAGAAAGATTTCCATGATTACTTTAGAAATTATGACAGTATTAAAAACTGCAATCCTGAAAAACATGATTGTGAAAAACTATTGGAATATGTTACCCATATTACTAATTTGTATAGAGAGAAAGAAGAAGACTGTTGTTTTTATGGAATGTTGGATCAAGATTACTGCAGACCGTATTTTAAATGTGAACCCGATTACAATCCTCATGAACTTCTAAGTATATTAAAAGACAAAATTCAAGAATCAAATAAAGTAAAGGACACAGAAACGAAGGCTGAAAACAGTGTAAAGGATAATATTAATGTGGTTCCACATTCAGACGGTAGCTTGTCGGATGAAGCTAATGATGAAACCCTTCCTACAACATCACGTGATATATTATTTGAGGATACTACTTCTTACAGTGCATTAGAAAAATTATATGATATGTTTAATTTAAATTATTTTCGTCCATCTATCGTAGTAGCATCACTTCTTGGAACATCCCTCTTTTTATTTTTTTACTATAAGGTAATTACGAAATTTTTATTAAAAAATATATATTTAATGATGGTTCCTTTATTTAACTTTTTTTTAATACATAATAGCAAAATAAAGATATTTAAATATGTTTTATTTTTGTTTTTTTTACATTAGTCTACTTCCCTTGGATCAAGTGTAAATAAGAAGGAATTAAAGAAAGACATATTTAACTATAATTATGATGAATACCATGACAAATTGTCGGAATATGAAGTAGATTCACAATTTTTAGGTCATAAGAATGAACGTATATATTTGTCTTATTCTGGTACATAAAAAATTGCTGGTAAAGAATGTTTGTAAACTAATTTAATAATAAGATGCAACTGATATAAAAAGAAGTTTTATGTGCAATTTTTATTAAAAAAATTGGAAAGTATTAAGGAAGAAGCTATGAAAAATATAGTTTATAAAAAATAGGGCTACAAATTAACATCGTAGAAATGAGAACTTACTTATATGCATGATAAACACAGATATAACAACGCGTGAATTCATAAAATGGAAATTATAAAATGGATTAAAATGTGAATACAACAAACATATAATAATATTATACTTTTTAGTAAATGATCCTTAAAATGAGGATACAAACTATGAATATAAATGTTATAAAATATGTAACATAAAATGCAACTAATGGAAGAGAAATATGAAAAAATAGAATACACTAATGATATTAAGAAAAGTTAAATCCGTTTTACATAAGTTCTTAACAAACGTGATAATTAGAATATATGTTTCAGGGATATGTAAATTATAGAAAAAGTTAATGAATTAAGGAATAAATACTTTTAGTTTGTCTTGGTGATCCCCATTTTAGGGTATTACCATTACTTATTTTTGTTTTTTTGTTTTATGCTGGACAATAGTATACCCTTTTGTGTGTTAATAAATATTATATTATATGTGGCACACCAAATAGGGGTAATGTGTGCATAACATATATATATATATATATATGTTTTAAGGCTTAAATGGAACGTCTTTTTGAAAATTTATTTTTGATGGGTATAAAAGAATGTATTAATTATTTAAAATGAATAAATGTTTGAAAATGATAAAATATTATTTTAGGAATTGAAGTTGAGTCATGTGTATGGAATTGCATGGTTCACTCTAAACAGATATCTTTTAATATGTAGATGAATATAACGATGTTTATAAGAAAATTTAAATGTAGAATAGGGAAAAGAATGAGTGATGAAATAGTTTAAATGAGACATAAATTTAGGATACTATTGGTTTTAGAATTATAATCTTCAAACACTAAAAATATAGATAAAACAAGTACATGCTTTATTTAAGCAGCTTACTCTATTGGTTATATAATACTTAATGTAATATTTGAATTATTTACAAGGACTTAGGAAGTGAAGATAATACATTATTGTCACGAGCATAGCAATGATTACAAGACAAACATGTGCATGTGACCATTATTTTTAATTTATATTTTTTTTGTAATTATTTTTTTTAGTAAGTTCGTATATTATAAAGTAATATATGATGTTTTTTTACAACGGTTTAACCCTTTGTACACACAATTCATTGAACAATTTTGTGACAAAAATGTTTTGTTACTTATATAAACTGTTTATTTAACTTATTTTAATGTACAAATTTATGATGATATTACACTATTTATTGATGTTTTTATTAGTGCATATTAAATGCTCAGTATAGTATTAAAAAACAAATTCTATATTAGAACATAAGTATAAAAAATATGTTTTTTGGTATTTAAAAAAATTTGCTGATAAATTCAGAAAATGAACTATACAAGTATTCATATAAAGTTTTAACATTTGTATAGAACTTCAGAGTATATAATAACGATAACACATTGAAAATGCATCATTTTAAATTTCTTTTGTCAAGTATATAAAAATGTGTAAATTTTTTTTTAAACATAAACGTATATGTGTAAATTAACTAAATGTGTACAGTAAAAAATATTTTTTCTGTTAAATAGATCTGCGACAATGAGAAAAAATATAACAACATGTACACACATTTGTTAAATATTTGAAGTTTCACAAAAATTATAAATTTATGTAAGATTCAAAAAAAAAAAAAAAGTTTTATGAACAATACCTTTAATAAAAATTAATATAAAATAATTTATACAAAAAAATGAAATAATACTAAGTCCCATATATGACATGATTCTCAAATAAGAAGGGAGGTCATAAAATACTTGATATACACAGTTTTAGCAATATTCTCAATTTGTTGGAAGTTATAACATAAAAATAAATTTTATTCGATATTAAGAATTTAAGTTAAATAAATTATATAGCATAGTAATATATACAAAATGATATGAAGCTCAATGATTTTTAAATTCCCAAACTTAATATTTTAATATAAATATAAAAAATACACTCTTTACCCTTTTTTTATTTCCTTTAGTTTAAAGGTAATGAAGTACTCAATTTTGTGTAAGACAAATTAATTAATAATCAAAATGTATTATGGTAAACTATATGTTATTATGTTACGAATAAAGAAAAAAAATATTAGTTATCAGTATATTGCACAAACAAAAAAAAAAATAAGATAATAAAATATATATTATGCACACTATGTGAAGATGCACAAAATTATTTTTGTGCTAACAATTTTATCTGTTTGTAATATAAAAAAGGAATTTTACATTTTCCTTGTGCTTTAAAATAATAGACGGATTAAATCATTTTAAATATTTTTTCCCAAAGAATCATTATCATTATGTACCATTTTGTGCATATATATTTTATAAACAATGAGCACAAGACTGAAATGAGCAAGTTACATCTACATAATTGCAGTGCTAAAATAATTAAAACGTTTAATTGTTCCAAGAATTTATAAAATTTAATGCTGGGGAATGGGGAATATTTTAGGAGTTTGAAAATAATTTTTGATATGTTAAACAATAGACTAAACACTAATATAATGTAAATATAAAGATATGTTACGTAATTACATGTAAGTTATCAAATTTCATTTAGATTTATTTCAGATTTGAGGAACATATACATGATTTTATAATTTGTAAAAGTTATGAATTATTATGATTATATTTGAAGTTAACGTAGGATCTTATAAATGTTAGGGTTAAAATTTAAAGTGACCCGAAAATAACATTTGAAATAAGATAGAATAAAATAAACATTGTACTTTTTTAAACTATTTTTCTTATAAAAATATGTTAAAATAAGTACAATTATAGATAATTATATATTTAAATAAAATTAACATTCTGAACCTGTGGAAATCACAATGGCATGTCCTATTAAATATGATAAATAGAAGTGTATACAAGGTGATATGAGCTTAATATTTCTTACACTGAGAATTTTCTTACAACATTATGTTCTATAATTTCTAAAACATTTTTAATTTAAATATATTTTTTTAAAATTATGTTTGTCTATATTTTTCCGTTATAGAATATCTAATAAGGTTCAATCCTAATAATATGGGAATATGCATTAATGTGTTAATTTTAACATGTGTTATGTATAGACATATGATTTATTTATTTTTTTAATATATAGGTAGATTAAAAGCATAATAATTAATATTGAATCTATTGAATATATTTTAAAATATAATGATATCTGGTAGCAGTGATGATTGGGTATCTTTAATTTTACATTTTAATAATATTTGTGACCACTTAAATAATTAATACAGATTTAATTATGTATAAAATAAATAATTTTAAATATTATCTGCTTAACTAATCATATTTTTATTTCCCCTATTATATATATAGAATGATCTATTAACTGATCTAAATTCACATGAAATATACAAAGAATTGAATAAAGAACTTAGTGATACTTATAAAAACATTAGTGGGCATTGCGATAATATAAAAATTGAAAAAGGCGATATTAAAACACTTTGTAAAAAAATTGAAAGAAATTTAGGTATATTGGATGAAATTGATAAAATTAAAACCGAAAGTTATAGAGATCGCTGCTTATATTTTAATTTCTGGGTATTCGATGAATTACACAAAGTATATAATGGAAGCGAGAAAAATGTTCTTAAAACAAGTGACATTGATGAGTTATTATTGAAATGGAATAAAATTAATTACACTTTAATAAATAAAGATTTCAATAAAAATTATAAGTCTATAGTACCGGAAGAGCCTAAAGGAGTTATTAGATTAAATGGCGATGAACAACCTCCAGAAACTACGAATGGTTGGAACGCTAGAAAAGTCACTAAACTTTTCGATAATTACGAATTTAGGAAATATAAACCATGTTTTTATTATTCTTTATGTACTTTAGATAACTGCAAAGATATAAAATATTTGTTCGATTATTTTAAAGAATTTGAAAATATTAAAAATAAAATTTCTTCGGGAAATGAAAAATGTGCAAGCTATTATAAATATCTTACTCACATTAAAAAGATATATGAAAAATACAAAAAGGAACATAATTGTTGCGATGTCTTTTGGGGAAATCTTTGTGAGGATTATTTTAAATGTGAAAAAAAGTATGATCCAAATAATCTTTTGGCTGATTTCAAAAGTTGTGATAGCCCATCCTCTACTAAGAAAGAGGAAGTCTCAGACGATAAAAGTACTAAAAATTTAGGGGATCAGCAAAGCTCAAGATCGCAGAGATCCACCGTTGATAATTTGGAAAATAAAACAGAATATAAATTTTTTAGATGCAAAGAAATGAAAAATGATATTCTACCAACATATGCTGCTTGTAGTGAAGTCTCAGCAGAAAATTATGAACGTTTTGATGAAGTGTTTAACCTTGAACCTTTGATTGATCCATTTAAATTTTATAAATCAAAAGGTGCTACTAGAATTGGGAAGGATCATACAAGAAATCTTTACATCCATTTAAATATACATAATATTACAAAAAATATAGATTATTTTAAAATTGGGGTGTCCTTCCTCCTTGTACTAGGAACTTTTTTCGTATCTTTCATTTATTACAAGGTTAATAGAAATGCTATTATGAATCGTGGATTCGTTGTGATACAATTTACAATTTAGTTTGGAATGATATATGTAAGCATAAGATAAATATGCATGCATATCTTATATTTTTTATGTTTCTTTTAGTTTACACCTTTTGGACCTTGGTTAAACAGTAAGTTTTTGAGGGGAAAAAGAAATAGACACTATATTTATCAAGATCAGAGAAAATTACAAAATCGTTCATCCAGTTCGGTTAATAATAGATCTAGGAATAATAGAGTACGTATTGCATATCAGTCTTCATGAAGAGTATTCATAAATGTTATATAAAATATAAAATGTTAAAGAACGATAATACCAAGATTAAAATTATAAGAATGTTAATATTCATTATATTTAACATATTTGGAATGAAGAAAAATAAATGTTATTAATAATAAATACAGAACACTTCTACATATCATGCAATTATTAATAGAATAACTATGAAAAATTATATTAGACTTAAATATGAAAATTTACAACATTTACAAAAATATGAAGAAAGTAAAACTAATTTTTATTAGATATATTATATGTAACAAACACCTACATTTCAAAGTTTACTACAAACACTTGAAATATAGTAATTTTTATGCATTTAAAATAAAAATAATCGAAAGTAATATATATAAAGAAATAAGTAATAGAAAATAAATGTATATATGACTTCTATAATAAATTTAGGGACATAAGGAATAAATATATTTGTTTACTCACAAGTGTCATAGAAATTAAAATTTTGAAGAAATAGGTATTTATTAAAAAAAAAAATAATAAGATTATGCGTAATAGTGAGGATATAATTCTAATGATGGAATTAGAAGATATAATATACGCAAAATACATATGAACTAGTAATTCTCAAAATAGAAAAAAATAATTAAGACTTTTTTTTTTTTAAAACGCATTCATTTTATGAGAAACCATATTATTTTTTACACATGTGTGTATAATATTTTTTAGTGTATTATAAATATATTACGTAATTTTACATTTATTTGTCTTTTTATTTTTATTTACTTTTTTTTTAATTTCGCTTTATTGGCTAATTTTCTTTTTATGAAATATGAACTTTATTTTTTTTTTAAAAAAAATGTAATATCTTAATAAGTATATTGCATTTCACCAATGCAAATAATTATTATTTGGCACAAAAAGCGTCGTATGTGCAATTAAAATACAAACTAAAAAGCATATTTGTCTGAATATTTCATTATAGCGTACGAATTAATTATTACATCTGCTCTAATTTTAATAGTATTTATTATATTTGCTATGAAAAAAGGAGAGAACTTTAATGAATAATAATTTGCTCTGGTAAAATAACTACTTATAAAAATACTAGTTTAGTATCACTTTATATAATATATATAGAAATAATTCATAATGCGAGACTTTGGATATTACCTTCAGGTATATATTTTTGTGAAGGTTCTCGTTTTAATTAGTGTATATATATTTTTTTATTTGTATTTTTTATTTAAGATCTGTGTTCTAAACATACGTAAATTTTTTTTCATAAAATACAATATAAATGAACGCAAACTGTTTTTATATGTATTTTGTTACAAATATTTTCACATAGAATCATATCCAATCAGATATTCATGCATAAGAAATCTTGTGTTCTCAGTTTTATGTTCCTCTTTCATTAATTTTAACTTTCTTGCTTTATTTTTAATAATTCGAATAAATTTTATTATTAGGGGACTATCGCGTAGCCAGGGTATATATGGACTAAACTATTAGGAAAAAGATATCATTATAACTTAATTATGTGAATATTATCTATGTAAAATTAAAATAAATTTGAGAAGAGATGCATAAAAATAAGTTTTTGTTATTCATATTTACTTTATAAATAAGAAAAAATATCATTGAAATTCCAACAAATACATAAACAGTTAACATAGCTTTCCACACCCTTGGGCCTTGTATTGTATCAGTTGTGGCAGCATCACCCATTGATTTATCTTCCCCTGGCATTGCTTGAGGTCTTAACTCTCTACCTTCTAAATTAGAATGCGTTTTAGGATTATCTAATTTAATTTCTTCTAATTGTTTTAACAAATCAAAGGAATATTTTTTTTCAATATTATTTAACATATTACAGTATTTTTGGTCTCTTGTTTCACATTCCGCTTTTACTTCATTATATAACTGAAGAATATCCTTTATGTATTTATCATCTTCTGGGGTATATTTCTCTATGTGCTTTTTAAGATAAAACTGAATCTGATTATGAATTAATGGATAGTCACATAACATTTTGGTTTTTTGAAATTGTATATTATTCATTGTATCAAAGTTAAATTCACATGTTTTAATAGTGGAATAATGTTTTATAAGTTCCTGTACTTTCTCTTTAATAAGTTGATATTCTGGTGAATCCTTTGAATACTTTATATCTCCATTGTTTAATCGATCATATATCCATAAATCTAAATACACACAACGACTGTTATCAAAAAGCATTAAGAATGTCATGTTGTTTAAATTTTTTAAATTTCCTATAAGACTCGCGCAAAATGAGAAAAAATATAAATCATCGTTTAATGTACTATTTTTAAAATTACATTTATTAGATTCCCCATCTCCCATAAATCTTTTATCCAAAATTTGATAATTAATATCTGATGTTAAATAACTATTTTTTTGACCCTTAGGAATAAGTATGAGTTAATGTATATTAATAGTATCTTTATTATTTAAGAAAATAATCATATCATATCAGTTATAACTAACATATTACTAGTTTATGAAAAATCACAAATGATGGTTTTAATATAAAAATATTTATACCTGTAATATCATATTTAGGTATCTTTAGGGCAAAAATGGGAAAAAATGCACTTTGAGATGAGTAAGCTTATATACACATAAGCTATTATGTAAATTTTCTGTATTTTTCAAGAGTTAAATATTATATATTAATATATATATATATTAATGATATGCATACCACGAGTTTATAAAAAGTATCAGAATGAATTTATTATGATATAATTCATTATTAATATACGAATAAGATCTATGTAGATTATATAATAAGCATTAAATCTAAAAGGAAAAAATGTTTTAAAAAGCTTATTAATACATATGTTTATTGTCAATAATGTTATATTCTATTTACACAAGCAAATTATTTTAATTGTCTCAATATATAAATTGTAGATAATATGTTGACAAATATATTTATATGTTTAATGCATGGATAAAAATTATATCCTAATAATATTCACTTTTATTTCTGATTGATAAATATGTTTCATATTTTGAGGAAATAATTTATTTTTATGTACAAAATATAGTTTTGTACAAACAGTTATTTAATATCCTTAATTGTATATAATAAAATATTAATATTTAAGCTTAAATCACTTTTCAATATAATATGGACTTCAATTTTACAACTACATATTTTTGTACAAGTATAAAAATTAATATAATATTTGTAAAGTTTATGATAAACATCACAATATGATAATTATTAGAATTAAAAAGTTTTTTTTCAATTATAATTTAATAGTGTATACATATGCTGTAAGAAATGTTATAACGAATATATACTTTTAAATTTTCCTATTATACTTATATTACTGTAGGCATTTTCTTAAATGTATAAATAATGCCTTACATTCTTATTATTTATCTAATTTTATACAAAAACATATTGTTAAACATATTCCCTTTTAATAATACATATTAAAAATTATACAGTATAATATTTGCTGATTAAATTATAATAACTTTTATTTTTTATAAATTTATTAGTTTTTTTAGTACTTTGAATTTATTTATAATAATTCTTTTATATAACATTTTTTGTTTTCATATATGCAATGAATGAAAAAGTCGTTAAACCTATAATAAGTTATAGTCACTTATTAGATATAATTCAGGTGGTTTGATACTAATATAACATCATTAAAAAAATCAAAATGTTGTAATTGTTAAAATATACTTTTTTATACATGTATGCATTATTATTTTCTTTTTCTATAATTACATGAAGACCTATAAGAACTTTTTGAATTTATAATAATATAAACATATATCTTAATTTTACATTGGTATCAGGGGATTAAGTTATATATGTCATTATTGAAGCATCCATTATTTATTTCTTTTAATGAATATTTCCTATTTATTATAAAAATAAAAGCATAACTTTTACTTTTTTATAAAATAATTTAAAATTCAATAAATATAATTATATTTGTTTGATTAATAATAGATAATTTGTTATAAAATATTTTGGATTATATGTTGTGTATAATACATATACTATACTTATATCTGGGTAATAAAGTTTATATTAAATTTATTATATATAATATATGTATTTATACTTATTATATAAAAAGTTTATTTGAATTTATTTTATAAGACACGTATTATTTAGTATCTATTTATACATTCTTTTAAAGTAAATATTGCCGTTGTTTTTGCAATTTTTATATTTAACATATTTGAGAAACTTTTTTTTTTAATACAAATGATGTTTTTCTATTTTGCTACATAAAATATTTTTTTCAAAGGCATTAATTACATTACATGCAATTTTAATGTACGTTTGGATATATGGACATATATAACATTATTCTGATAATTAAACAATATGAACATATTCACTTTATTCTACATAATAATTTTAGAAAATACTATGTAAATTTACTAAAATCCTTACATATATTTAATATGTTTATAAACTAATATGAAGGCTTATAATTACAAGTGCAATGTTGTCGCTGTGTTATTAAAGTATGTAATGAAAAAATATTTCGTAGGATAAACACATAGAGTATATTATTAAAAATTTCTAATTTATTCAAAGATAAGTATTACCAATAAAATAATATTTTTGAATTTTTCTTTTTTAATGATATTATAAAATAGTATATACATATTTACATGAAAACAATGAATAATTGAATGTGCTATAATATACTTATATTAATACATCTTTCGTTTAAGTTGAAAAAGTATTTTAAAGTAAAACAATATGTGTGGAATTCTATTGGTCTTTTTAAACATTGCATATTTTAGAATTACATGATATTTTTCATAGTTTAAAAAATTATTATATTAAGCGTATTTGATCATGTATTTTGGGAACGCAGCATTGATGATTCCAATAAACGGGGAATAAATAGTAATATATTGTTAGATTGTAGAATAATAATTTATAATTATTTTAATAATTGTCCATATATTAAGATTAATAGTTGTTATTTATTAGAAAATATATATTTTATTATAACTACATAAAATATTCTGAAGGTTATAAGAGCATTTATATTATTAAAGATCTTGATTAAATAGGATAATTTTTGGAAAAATAACACTATTTTTACTTTCCATAATGGTGACAGATTATTTGTTATATAGATAAAGCTTGATGGATTTATTTATGACATATCGTCTGATGTCTCTTGAATAATAATGCTTTCTTGGGAGTAGAAAACTTAAGGAGAGATATTATAAAAAGAGAACACAAAAGGAAGAGAAATTTGAAGTTATTTATGTGACATGACCTCATTACAAGAATAATAATATTCATGGATTTTAATTATGAACAAAACCAACAAAAGTTTAATTTTGGTAATACCTACCCACATTATTAGAATGTGGATTTTCCTTTATCTATGAACTCTTATATAAATTACAATATAATTAAAAAAAAATAAAATTCACGCATCGTGGATAAATTTAATAATTTATATTTATATTATATTAATAAAAGTGTTTCTGTGTACTCTCCATGAAAATGGACGAATATATAGATATAGAATACATCTAATGGATCTTGATAAAGTATATGAAAGATAAAAAAAAATAGAAGAAATATATTTCTCTTAAATAATAACGAAATTCAAGGATTATTAATTAAAAAATCTTAATTTATAATAAAAGAAATCTTGGAACATTAATAAAATATGGATTCAAAAATTTAGGAGACTCCTAAATTATATATAAAGGAAAAAGGAACATATTTTACATTGCTCATATACTGAGGTAAGTGAAGAACGTCCGTGTAGTGCCAATAAAATATTAATAATAATTGTTATTAAAAGAGTAATTTATTTCTAACATTTTACAAATATATATATAAGAAGACTTGATAGGAAATATCTATAAATAGAGTGATTTCGAAATAACTTAAAGAACTATAAAATTAAAATATATTAATAAATATTATTAAAATAAAAAATATAAAAATTACCGATTAATATATAATTGTACAATACAGACAATATTTGCTTAAGTTTATTTTCATATTTTCATCTATTATTTCATACTCAACACTTTCCTTTTATATATGGAATACCTTTAATGATTTTACATTTATACAGGGTTTAGGTTTTAACTATAATATTTTAATCTTATGGTTCTATGATTATTTATTATAGTTTATGAATTCGTTTTTATTTATTAGGTTTAGTATTAATGTATCATGCTACTGAATTCAGTTTATAATAATTTATTACTAGGATTACTTTATATAGATTCATTCTTATTAGAATTTATAATATTAATACTTTAATGACTAGAATATGTATTATGGATTGATTGATCATAGTAATTTACATGACTAACATATGTATCATTAAGTGACATAGATCATGTATATATTTCATATGATTTTTATTTATAATTATATACAAGAATAACTAGTATATTATATGTACCAATTAAAGTGATCTTCTATTTAGGTGTTCGTTTATGCAATTATATTTAATTATTGAATTATGTATATTCATGATTATTTTAACTTTTTGCTATTTTGAGTGCTACGCATTAATATTTTGATGGTCATGATAAAGGAAATTAAAATTTTATATATTATTCTTAATATAAACCAGGGCATTATTAATATATGAATAATAGTATAAATAGGATATATGTTATTTATGCGGTGGATTATATTACTGTATAATGTATTGGTTGAATGTAGAGACTTTTTTCTGTTATTTGTTTTAATTTTGGATTTATGACAAGAGTCAGATAAGAGTTCTTTTGAAATCAATACTTGTACAGGTATATTATTCCGATAGTCAGCAATTGCTTTAGAGGTTTTATCTTTTTTTAAAAAAGAATTATTAATAATATATAAGCTATATGGATTCCTTGAATTCTTTTCTTTTTAGCCTAATATTTTTCCTTCAGGAGAATTTTGAATTACATACATTCAGAACCTTCAAATTTATATAGTTCTGAACTTAATACTAAACATGTTTTAAGTTACTCTATCGCTTCGAATTATTTTTCACATATATTATATTTTTAATCGAATTCATTTGTTTCAAATGTTATTTAAGCAATATTTTTATTATGAGATATGTTATTGCTACGGCATATAGATGTCTTATTTTTTAGAAAATTTCTTTATTATTCCCTCTTCATATAAAGCATATAGTATATATGATTTTTCAAAATGTTTTGCAAAGTAGTCCTTTATATTTACTATATATTTACATATTTTAAAATATCTTCGTGAATTTCACTATATATGTTTCCATGAATTTTGTCAACATTATGTTCAAATTCGTCTGAATAATTTAAAAAATTTATTATTTTACTTTTGAAGTTGGTAATATTTTTTACCATCGAGCATATAAACCGTTATAATAGCCATATTAAATCCTTTAAATTTTATTATGAATGTATTTCCCCATTATTTGATTAAATAAATTATGTGGAAAATAAATTTTGTATATTAGTATAGACATTTGCACACTGAAATTTTACATTTTAGTATAATGAGACTATATTATTAAATTTAGTATGGTATAAATAATTATACTCACAAAAGATATAAATTGATGTACTTTAATATTTAAATGGAGTGTTTTTGAAATTCATTATTTATATCATTAGAACGAATACTATTTTGTACGTGCAGTTGTTTTTATAGGTATCTGTAATATAGTTATATATTCCAAGATTCATTCAGGGTATTTGCAACATTTCTATGCATTAAATTAATCTAAGTGGCGATATGTCCAAATATAACTTTTAGGAATTAAATGATGGCAATATATGCATAAGTATATCTGGTTCGCACATAATGCATACAAAAAAATTAAATAATGAATACAGAAGTGTTTCATTTAAGTAACAGTAACGAATGAAAGAAGATTTGGTCTGGAAATTTTTATGTATAAATATGTCTCTATAATCTTTTTATTTTGATATTGACACAGCGTACGTATTTTATATAATGTATATTTTCCCTTAAAAGGTTGTATTTCTCTGATGTTGTATAACA